AAATATTTATTGAAAGAATGTTATAAAAATAACCATATTTATTCATGTATTTTTCATAAAAAAATTTGAAAAGGGGTTGTGATAATTATTGTACGTGTTGATGATTTAAATATTATTAGAACTCTTAAAGGGATTCGAGTGTCATAGGTTATCTAAAAGGAGAATTTGGTATGAATACATTGGGAAATAAAATTTTATCTCAACTTATAGTTCGAGCACTTAGAGAATGATATTAATATTCGTTAGTCAAATTATATAGAAAAAAGTTATATAATTATTCTATATAAAGGTCATCCTTTGATTAGTCTAAATGATAGTTCATTCACTTGATATCAAAAAAAGACCTTTTTCGGCTTTGAGAAGATAACGAATAACTACTTTGTCCCGAAATACCATATCTTAATGCCACTAATGTATTGATATATCTTGCTAATAATACTCGACCTTATATAGCTTTTTCTATAAATTTATTAGTAAGTCATAGTTCTCGCTCCAATATGGAGATATTAAAATGAAATTAAATATTTTATACATTATCTTTGAGGAGAAATTGATATGATATTTATTTTACTTAAATAAATCAAAATCGGGTTTTATTGATTATGTAGATGTAGGTTGTTTATCCGATTCATACAAAACTCGATCATAAATGGGTTATATATTTACACTTGGTAATACAGCTATATCATGTCGTTATATGAAGCAAACTATAGCTACTAAATATTCAAACCATTCAAAAATATCAATTCATGAAGCAAGTCAAGAATGTGTTTGGCTAAGATCAATGATCCATCATATCCGAGAGACATGCCGTTTGTCTATCAACAAAGAATTTCCAACAATATCATATGAAGATAATGTTGCTTGCATAATTCAATTGAAGAAAAAATATGTCAAAATGATATTCTAACGAGACTTATTCACTAAGGCATTACATATCGAACTTTTGAAAAAATGGTTCGCACGATCGAGATGCGTCATCTTAGATGATGTCTTCAATAGGAGGAGTCCAACATAGAGATTAATATGTATCGAGAATATTGTATTCTTTTTCCTTCGCTAGAATTTTTTTTCAATAGGTTTTTCTTAGTGAGGTTTTAACGAGGCATGTTCCTTGTACGATGAACATTTAAGGAGGAGTATTATGAAATAATGAATGCCCATGATCATTTCATATTTTCACTACTCATGTGATTCAATTCACCTTTCAATGTGAGAAATTGAAAAGGTGATGTAATTTATTCAATGATTTATGTATCTTTTAATGGTTAATAATATATTCCAATTCTCTTCCTAATCTTTAAGCCTCGTAAATAGGCTTGATTGTTCATTGGTTTTTAAACAAGATTTTTTAAAAGGTTGAGAGAATAATTTGAAGTTCTTACCATTTATATTTACTTTTATTTTATAATGAATTCATTTTTTATCATATTTCTCTTCAATTCTACTATTGTTACTATTTCTTTTACAATAAATTATAAGTTACCAAATTTAATTGATAGCTAATGAGTTTTTTTTTCAATTGCAACGAATATAAAAGGATTCGGTCACAAACAACCAAATCTCCATTTGATTAACAAACGAGCCAAATCAACAAAATTAAATCGATTAAAATTTGAGTCCATAAGAGACTATGTCTCTTGTTAATCATTAAGGATCAAATTTTAATTGTTTCATTTGCAACCTAAAGTAAATGAGTGAGACTAATAAACAAAATATAGAAATTTGACATTTCATCCTTACAGATCATGATTGCCAAGTAGTATTTTCATTTCAACTATTTTTTGGTTAGAAAACTAACTATATTGAGAAATGTTTTACAAGGTAACTAAAACTAGGTGCTATTGTCAATGTATTATAAGCAAAGTCATGTGAATTCCATTCAAAACAAGGCTTTTTTTTCTTTTTTAGCATGACAGTAAATATGTGCTGGACTCTCATTCAATATGGTTACTTTCTTCTCCATTGCACATAATGGATGGTATTTTTTGCTCCTTAATTATTGAGATTGTGGTATGTTGATGTTTAGATTATCATTTTGGTCCGTTTTGATATTAAATTATTATTTTTAAACAAACGAGTGTCTTTTTATTTATTTGACGACTATCATCGATAAAAAATTCTATTAAAAAAATCGATTGTTGATATCTTGAATTAAAAATTTGCACGTATGCTAATAAAAAGTCAACCTACTCTCCCATATAATTTCAATATTTCAGTCGAAAATGCATTTTTTGAATTTTCTTAAATATTAACTACCAACAAAATTGAAAAATAACAAAAAATAAGTTGGAATGATTTCAAAATTTTATTGGGAGGCCTAAAAAAATTGTATAATTTATTTATTTAGTCTCGGTATGGTTCTCAAAATAGTCAAAAGTGTAACACCTAACCAAGTTTAAGATATGTTAATTTTGGTAACCACATATGTAAAAATTTTGAGAACCGAAATAAGATTATCAAAGTAAATTCATATAACCTCCTTAGAGATTCAAAAAACAATTTGAAATAATTCAAGCTTATTTTCTATTTTTATGATTTATTAAATTTTTATTGTTAAAAAAAAACTTCCAAATTAAAAAAAATAAAAATAAAATTATGTGAGAAATTTGATTGAATTTTAATTATTTCTAATGAAAAAAATAAGATGAAAATACATAAATTTGATTTTTTTTTCTAAAGAATTTTTGGTCGCACTAATGGTCAACTAAGATGAATGGATAAATATTTATCGAAAATACAGTAGTTCAATATCAAAATTCACTTAATTAATGTTATAGGTCTCAATTAGCTGCAAACCTAATAGTTGAAGAGCAAAAAAATATTATTAATGTTTTTTATCCGTGATTATAAGGATTTTTTTAAAACTTACCAATGGAATACTTTTAACTAAATTTTATCGATTTTACCATTGTTTGATGACGTGATGTTTGATTTTGACCAAAATTCATTTCCAAACAGTGTTGTATTTAATAACTAAAATAAATATTTTTATTTTTTTTGACAAAAGATAACCTATTGGAAAGGATTATTTTCTTTGTTATTTTACAAGTTTTAGACTAACTTTTCATGTTAATTAAAACTAAATAAATACGATTTTACTATTTATTATTTTAAGCAACTAAATGGATATTGTGTGATTTTGGAACAATGGAATTACTATTGATTTTAGTCACGTAAATATTTTTTTAATCCGATACTTCAGATTTCGATCGTTATATACGATGTTAGTTTTTGAAGGACTTTCCATAAACAATAGACAAAATTTGAATTTACTAGCTCAAAATAAATCACCATGTCAAGTCGTTAATAAAAAATGAAAAAAACTGATAGAATTTGAAGAAAGTATTTGACTAATAATTCTAAAAACAGTGATATACTTAAATGACAAAAATTAAAATTTGACTTGATTTATAATATGGATAAAAACTGGGGTAATGGGAGTGTAGTTATCCCATTAATCTTCTTAAGTTTTAATTTTATATTGAGAGGTAAGATAAGTAGCATAAAATATATATTTTGTTCGTAAAAATCCTTCCATGCTCTCTCGTGTGTGTTTGTTTGAAGTGAAGTATAAAAAAAAAAAAAAGTCAACATAAATTAGTTTATGGTCATAAACTTATTTTATTTGTTAAAAAATACGTTAAATTCATAAACTTTTGTAAAATATTTTATGTCATTGGATTACTTCAATCATCATAACCTCGCCATCGGCGTCCCATCATTAGTCTGCTATCATTATTTCACCACCAACTTCCATCATTGACGCTATTGTTGTCGCTTCTATTATTACAATCACCACCGTTTTCCCTCAGTTGTTGTCATCACCACTGCCCATATTACTGTCATTGCCACCATCTCTGGTGTTGAACATATCCATGGCCACTACCATACACGTAACGCCGCCATTAGAGGGCGGCAAAGCCGTTCCTCTCTGAAGTTTTTAAAATGTTCCAAAATTCCTTCGAACTTCTAAAATTTTTAAGGTAATTTTTACGAAATGGCTTTCTCAATCCTACAATTTAGATTCCGTAATTGAATATTACTAATATTTTATCACTATCATCGTCCCACACTAAAAATTTAATGTCATAATTTATCAAAAATAAAAAAAATACGTCAATACAAAACATTTTATGGTAAAAATTTTGATATGTAGAACATTTCTTGTTGTAAAGCATCCCATGCCAAACAAATCTACATTTCTTTTTGTAAAACATTCGCCGCAAACAAAAAAAGAACTAGTTCTAATTAGAATAGAAATGATAAAATTTAATTTTTTATAATAAATTTAATTTAAAGATTTGAATCCTGTATATTAAAAAATATTTATATGAAAATCAATTTTTTTTAACCAGTAGATCAACAATTTATTGATAGGCATATGATATTTTAAAAGCAAGCCAAATTTATCTCATAATCAGACGTCACGTGCTTGTAGCATGTTCTTAATCGTTATATAAATAGCATTTTATTGCTCTTGCGATTGAACACTAACCCAAAGCAACAACTGTAGCAGAGACTCCTTGGAAGGTAGAAGCCGTCACTCGCAACATTGTGTTGAATATTTTCTTTTCCATTAACTCACATTTCCTTGCCTCTAATCATAATTGGAGAAAAAGCGAAGAGAAAAATTCCACTCTGTGATGTTCATGTTTCGCAATGCAAGAGGCCTGTAGCTACTGCATTGTACTGCACCGGACGAGAATAATCTCTCTCATCACGTAATTTTTTTTTTTTTTGACCCCTGAAAAGAAAAGAAGCAAAATTGTAATTTGGAATCCCTCTTATCCTTTCTCCCTCACATAAGACCACCATCAAACAATCACCACTAACAATCCCAAAATTTACAACACACCCATACCATTTCTCTCCTTAACTGGCACTTCCGTAAATAAGCTCAACATTCGAATCCATTTCACAACCCCGCAGGCTAAACCCCATCAACAGAAATCTCTCGAGTTCAATACCCACATTCTTCCAAAAAAACCACCGGAAAAATGGCCACTCCTTCGCTCTTACGCTCCTCGGCGTCGTCGTTTAACTGCCAATTCCTCTCCCTCCCACCGCCGTTGACTGCACGAGTACCTTACGGAAACCGCTATGGGGTTGTGTCAGTGAGAGCCACTGGAGTTGCTGTTTTGGTGGAGAAATCAGAAGCAGAGAAAACCAATCGGCTCAAAACCACTTATCTTGAAAAAATCGTTCCTTTGCTTAAAGAAGAGTTCTCTTACACTAACATTCACCAGGTAATTCTTTTTTTTTTTTTTTTTTAATTTTCTGATAGGTTATTCTAGTTTGCAATTTGCTAAATTTGGATTTCTTTAGGTTCCGAAAATTCAGAAGGTTGTGGTGAATTGTGGGATTGGAGATGCTGCGCAGAATGCTAAGGGTTTGGACGCAGCGATAAATGATTTGGCTCTTATCACAGGGCAAAGACCTGTAAAGACGCGGGCCAGGAATTCGGTTGCTACCTTCAAGATTAGGGAAGGCCAACCACTTGGTATTGCTGTTACGCTCAGAGGAAATGTGAGCATTTGTGCTATTATCTGTATCGAATTTTCTTGTTTGTGTTTATGCCTGTCGGTACATAATTCATGATAAAGTTAGTTTGGAGTCTAATCTTTAGAGGCTATATTATTTGGCCTTCTCAGCGCAAGATTTCTTCTTTTGTATTTTGGAAGGTCTTGTTCTTTTTAAGAAGCATTGAGGAAAATGATTTTAAAGACGGCATTTCTATGAGAAACTTTTTGGTTATGGTTGAAGTTACAGGAGCAAGAGTGAAAAATGCTTCATATTTGGAGCTTCCTTATGGATAGAGAAGAAATGTTCTGATGCTTAAGTTTGCGACTGTTATTGTCAGGGTGGATTCGATGATGGTTGCTTTTAGTAGCATCTAGATCAGTAGTGGGGGCATTTAGCTTAGCTATGACACTGATGATTAGGGAAAGAAAGTTTCTTTCTGTCCAAATTGATTTTTTCACTTTGAGTAGACGACAAAATTTCCTTTTCTTAATTTAACAAAAATGCTTTTAAACTCCAATTCTGAACAGGATTTGGGGCTTCCTTTCAATTTTTGAATTATAATGTAAGATTACTTTCCTATTGTTGGATCTATTTAAGCGATGACTTCTGCACGTGGGAGATGTAGAAATTGCTCCATTGTATGAGTATGATCAGAATTGTTGGATCCACGTCAAGGATGGCTATGCTCCTCCATAAAACTATAGAAAAAACATAGTAGAGATGTCGGCTATGGTCCACAGATAGATCTTAGAGATGACTGCTAGTACTCTACTGTTAGAAATTGGTTCCCTTCAACTCAATGCTAGATCTAGCTTACTATTTTCTGTGTTTTCTCTCAATGGTGTGTGCTTCTGAGTAGAACACATTTATACTTGTATACAAAACCATGCTATTCTGATCTTGAATCAACATATTTTGTGATTTGTCAGCAAAGGACCTAGTTGAATCTAATCATGATTTTACTTGCTGTTTAGATTAGGTCATATCACTTGCTGCTCATTACCAATTTCGTATCTTGTTGGTGGAACCTGGACATTTTGTAACTTGAATTCTTGTTGATTATATTTTACAGCTGATGTACTCATTCTTAGATCGACTTGTTAACTTGGGGCTGCCCAGGACAAGGGATTTCCAAGGTGTGACCCCAAACAGCTTTGATGGACACGGCAACTACAGCATTGGAATTAGCGACCAGAGTGTGTTCCCAGAGATTAGGTTTGATGCAGTTGGTAAACCCAGGGGAATGGATGTTTGCATTACAACCACAGCTAACACCGATCAAGAAGCCCAGAGACTATTGGCTCTCATGGGTATGCCATTTAGAGAAGGTGGTGGTGGTTCTTCCGGTCAGCCTCGCAAGAAGAAGTTGAAGGCACACCACTTTGATTCAAAATCGAGGGGGAGGAGCAGGCGATGATAAAAGCTATTATAATCCTCCCATTTCCTTGCAGTATTTGTTGTATCTCAGATTTGACTTAATAGAAAAGGAGAAAAGATTGCTCTAATCTGTTTCCCTAAAATTAATTTTGCTTGTTAATGGACGTGTTCGTAAAAATGGAAGGAAGATCAAAGTAATATTTTGCAATGTGTAGTTCTTCCAGTCTCCACTCTTCCAGTCTCCACGCATTTCGGGACTCGTACGTTACTGCTGCGTGAATTCTAAGAGGCAATTTTGTTAAGGCGGTTGATTTTGGCTGAATGTCAACCAAATTTTGGTCTTGAAGCATGCATTCTCTACTGATGGAATGTTCAGTTGACGCCTAATAGCAGCTAGCATTTTCGTATCGGATCCATATTTTTTGGGTTAGTTTCTAGTTTCTACAACAAGGAGATTAAATAATTACATCAAAGACATAAAACTATTCAAGGAGGAGCTTAGGAATTGGTACTCCGTCTTAAGTCTTAACCATCATACTAATCACTGAAATTAGCATGCTTGTGAAACTTTGATTAAAATCAACTGTTCCCTGCTATCGGGAGGAGATAGGGAATTCGACAATTATCCAGCGGTTGCAGTGCACGTGGGAGGATTGACTCTCAAAACCAGAGTGGGACCCACAGACATCTGTTTCACCGCCGTCACTCTTTTCTTCATGCTTTCATTACCGATGAAAACGTTAATTACAACTCCTTTCTCTCCCTTTATCTCTCTCAGCGTCACTAATGAGCTAGTCTTTCTGTAGCTATCGCAGGATCGCTTAAGAAGCTATGAAAAACCCATAGTTAATTAAAATTGGAGGAGATAAATAAGTAAATATTATATATACACATATTTATTATAATTGTGGTGCAAGTAAATGAAGAAAGGATGGCGTGCTGCTATCAGATTGCTTTGGGAGGAGTAACAGCAGCTGGGGCCGCATCTTCTTTTTCTGTAAAATCAAAATTTAAACCTCTTCGTGTTCTCAAAGCGGAGCATCTCAATCCCATGGCTTCTGATCTGTCTCCGGACCCGTCGGTCTTCCACGATGGCTCTTCCTCCTCCTCCTTTCCCCGTCGTGACCTCGTTTTCATCGTCAATCCCCGAGGTTTTTCTTTTTAAAATTTCTCTTTCTTTCGTTCTCTGTTTGTTTCCAGTGAAAATTGAGATTAAAATAAGCAATTATTGTTCGGAACAGGGGCTAATGGGAGGACAGGCAAGGAATGGAAGAAACTGCTTCCTTATCTCCGGTCTCGCCTTGAGAAAAACTGTAATGTGAGCGTCCTCTTTTATTGTTTTTAATGCTAATTCCAGTGTCAAATTAAATAGAGCTGAATTAACTTTTTTTTTTTTTTTTTAATACACACACTATTGGCAGATATGTGAATCTCTGACTTCAGGTCCATATCATGCAATTGACATTACGAGAGAGGTAGCTATAAATAAATGGTTTATGATTTTTACTAAATAAGACAGGTTGAATTATCTTGAATCTAATTGGTTACAGGCAATAAGGGAGGGTGCTGATGCTGTGGTTGCTGTTGGAGGTGATGGTACTCTTCATGAGGTCAAACTTGCCTTTCTTTCTAATTAGATTACAAATACAGAAATTCAACTTAAAAGCTTTTGTTCTCTAATTTGGGCATTAAAATGGTCTATATCAAGCAATATATGATAGTAAATACACTGTGTCTCATCAACCATGGCAGGTTGTTAACGGATTCTTCTGGGCTGGGAAACCTGTTACCAATCACGATAGAGAAGTTACTCGTTCAACTGCTCTAGGTGTAAGTGCTGCCATTCTGTGCTAGTACTTGATTACCATTTGCTTTGGTTCCTTTTATGTGCTAACGATTGATTATTGGTTTGCTTTGATCCTTACTGCAAAATTAAGTTGCCAATGGCATTCAAGTGTGATATGTGAATTGCATGGTATGGATTTCTCAAGGGTGGATGTAATTATGTTTTTATCTTTCTACAGCTCATACCCTTAGGGACTGGGTCTGACTTTGCTAGAACATTGGGCTGGTTAGTTGGTTCTACTGCAATCTGGATTAATCTGGTATGAGTTATTTATGAGATATTATTTGCTCCTGATCATGACAGATGTGTTCATTATCACTTGCTTCTATTAGGAAAAATGATCCTTTTGAAGCCATTGATCGAATTACTAAAGGTACTTGAACTCTTATTTTTCTGGTGTATGCCAAGTTTGTTTAAGGTCAACTAGCAGAATAGGTTTCACTGGCAAAGAATTTTCATGAACTAGTAATTATTCTATGTATGTTCTTATCCATCGTGTATAAAAACTCTGTCGGAGCTGTTCTGCAGGGATGAGATCACGGATGGATGTTGGTGTGATTACTGGAGAAAGTGAAGAATCCCATTACTTCATTAATGTTGCTGATATTCATTTGTAAGTTAGCTTGGAAGTTTTGCAGTTGCCTTAGTAAAATTGCATGCTTGTCTTAAAAGTTTTGCTCTGGTATTTGCAGGAGTGCCAAAGCTGGCTACTTTGCATCACGATACAAGAGATTTGGAAACCTATGCTACGTTATTGGTGCTCTGCAAGCTTTTATGGGGCATAAAAATCAAGACCTTAGAATCAAGGTGAGTGTATTTGAAAAGAATTCAGAATAATGTCTTTTTCTGTGTGCTTTTCTTAAATCCATACCATTATGCAATCATATGGTCCCTGTGCACTTTCCTATAAGAGTATCAATTTTCCGTTTGTTTTAACTCCTAAGAATCTTGTGTGTATAGGTCAATGAAGGTCAGTGGGAAACATGTTCTCAAGTGACAGCTCTTTGCATTGGAAATGCTAAGTACTTTGGTGGTGGCATGAAAATTACTCCAAATGCTGACCCTTCCAGTGGAAACTTTGAGGTGGAATACTTTTAATAATTCACTAAAAGTATTTAAGCATAAAATAAATCAAGCATTTGGTATTAACTTTGAATTTTTGATATATTCTATTTTGCAGGTTGTAATTCTTCAGGACTTTAAGTGGTATGACTTTATTCTGAAACTACGTAGACTGTATAACGGGACGCATTTATCAGTGAAGAATGTATCTTCAAGAAGGTAGGTCCCTCCTGTAGATGAAACTGTAATTCATGATTATTCCATGCATGCTGGTCTTTGGCCATTTTTGGGTGGAGCAATTGTATTCAAACTATAAAGTATTCAACTAATGCCACCAAGGAAAAGCTACACGGGCCTTGGAATCATGTGATCTGGCATTAAAATTTTCTATGAGTTGATCACATATTTCTGCAATTTCTACGGAAAGTGGTTCTGTCTGCTATTTCTGGGTTGGGTTAAATAGCAGGAGGACTTGGATTTCTTGCAGTTTAGCCAGTTCAATTAGTTTACTTCTAGTCCAGATAAGATTAGTGCTGATGCTTAGTTCAAACTTAAAAGCGGTGGGGATTATTTTGTAACTGTCTTGCTATTTATGCTTTCTCATATCCTGCAGTGTGTTTTCTATTGAAGTGGAAGACATTTCTGGCAGTGGAAGCATTTATGTTCAGTCTGATGGGGAACATCTAGGGTTCCTTCCCAGGAAGTTTTGTATTTTACCTTCTGCCATTGAGATGATATGCTGACACTCCACAAGAACAATCAATTATTGACGAGTTTGCGCATTCTATTTTGCTTCAAGCAGATGTATCGTTGTTTACATTCTTCATATGCCTTTGCTTTGCAACTAATTGAGAAAAAATAGCATCAGGGGGACAACACAGCAGGGAGGGGCACCTGTGAGTTTTTCCCAGCAGTGATGAAGTAATTGACATGAATACAGTGACATTTTGGCGGTATGGGACAATTTCTTGTGGCATTTTTAGTCACACCAACCATCATTCGGATGCTTTTGACGATTTGCGGCTTGGTTTTGATTTGTTGTCGATTTATTGTAGGCCAATGCCACAGAGGTAGCTACTTGATGTGTGGCTGCGTTGGAACTTTTATTTCTTAGACTTGGAAACAAAGATTTCAGGTTTTATCAACAACGGTTTTAGAATTTGCTTTCCCTAGCTGGTTTTATCTTTGTAAGGGCATAAGTTGAATGGATGCAAATTCCACACAACTGCCTTTCACTTAGCTCCAAATGAAGAGGATGAAATTTGCTCACTTTTGATTCCTGAATAAATATTTTTCAATTTTTTGGTTTAAATAACGCATACTTATTTATTCTACTTTATCTTTAAATTGCACTTGAATTGAAGTGTTTTTGCTTAAGAGAAACGACGTGATAGCTTTTAGCAGCTTTCTCAATCAAAATTTCAATTATTCTTCTGTTTACTTGTGGCCACCATTCTTCGAAGGCTTTAGATATTTTATCAAATAAATTATAAGTTAGTCATTCTAGTTTTCTAGTTTTGTGAAATGAATTAAATAATTTCTTTTGTTTTAAAAATTAATTAATTAATTAATTTTTTTATTAGTATTGATGATGTTTAATTGAATGTTATTTTGTTTGAAAAAATATTTTTTTTACCTATCTTTTTATATTTTTTACTTTTTTATTCGTAAAAATAAAAATAAAAATAAAATTAATCACAAATAAAAAAATTAAGTCCCAAATGGATTTAAAAATATAAAAATTAATTAATTAATTAATTATTGAAACTTAAAGAATTATTGAAAAATTAAAGGGACTAATTTACAATTTACTCCTATTTTAAATGAACTGCGGGAATTCAAGCATTCGATGACTCTACAGTCTCTTTTTGTCTCTCTCTCTCTCTAAATGGCAACCTTTCTCTCCTTTGCTCCAATCACTCCCCATCTAAAATCTCACTACCACCAAAGCATCATTTTTTCACCCAACTACAGTTTCAAACTCAACACAATTCGATGCAATGGAGAGAACCCAACAAGCAGTTCTTCATCCTCTAAACAGGAATCCGAACCTGAGAATGCCGTGCTCAAGCTAGCTTGGTACAGCTCCGAGCTTCTGGGAATTGCTGCTTCATTTTTCCGTTCACCATCCAATAGTAGTGCTGAAGCTTCTGAAAAGGATATCAAACTTGGCAAAGACGTTTCAGGCGCCATTGATCGTGCTGTTGTGGTGGAAACCATCAAAGAGGACTTCCAAAGATCGTATTTTGTCACAGGTTTGTGAAATTAACTTTTCAATTTCTCTCTCACTCTCTCTTTTTTATTTCTTTTGGCTTGATTTTTATTCGTACTGTTCCATTAATTGGACGATGAGAAGCTTGACATCCTTCTCTAGCCTCAAAATTTGCGTTGGAGACTTTGGAGTATCCAATTCAAAGTAGATTAGGTATCCCTGTTACGGGATCAAGGTCAGCTCAGTCCAGGTTCAAAGAATTGTAAGATCCGAAACACTAAACTACCAGAAAGCATTTGCATCGAAAAAGAAAATGATTACTGTACATGTTCTGATGAAATGTCATCGAATATGCTCAATAAGTCATCCAGCTCTTTCCCTTTTTCGTTTCTAGTACCAAAATGGAGGCTCGAGCTAGGGGGAAAGAGAGAACAAAGAGAGGAGAGAAGAATCTTGCCATGTTCATGGACACACCGACCGAATAAATGAGTGTTATGAAGTTATTCTTTATTTTTGTTATGTTCATGCTTAATCAGTCTACATACGTTTACTTCTTGTGGATGAGACATATAGCATGGTCCATTTTTGATAATTGAACCGCATAATTTCTCTTTTCAATGATCAGGGAACCTTACACTTGATGCATATGAAGAGAATTGTGAATTTGCCGATCCAGCTGGTTCGTTTAAAGGACTTCAACGTTTCAAAAGGAACTGTACAAATTTTGGATTGCTTATAGAGAAGTCTAATATGAAGCTTACAAAGTGGGAAGACTTTGAGGTAATCAGATGATGGAATCTACATTCAAATATGATTCTGTTGCGCATAATTTCTTTCTATAATACAAGTCAGTCTGGATGTTATGATTGATGGGAACTCCCTGCCTAGTATCAGCTCAGGTCATGGCTATGATTTTATCTTATGTAATTCGTAGGGGTTTCTTTCAGAACTCTTATTCTAGTGGATTTTGATACAGGACAAGGGAATTGGACACTGGCGGTTTAGTTGTGTCATGTCATTTCCTTGGAAGCCCATTCTTTCTGGTATGTTTCATGCTCAGCTGATACATTTTACAAATTCCAAAGAAGAACTCAAGATTGGATTGAATAGTTTGTAGTATTATTCATGTAAATGCAGAAAATACATGTAATGAAATAGCAATACAAGAAATGCATGAATTGTGTTACAGAGAGAAAGTATCAGAGAAGAAAACAGAGAGAGAGAACTTTTAACACAAATGATCCAAGATATTCCTTCTCTCCTCTACTCTCTTAATAGCCTAACTAACATTGTAACTAACTTCTCTAACAATCTAACCGATTTCGTTGTGTCAACTGCTTGGTAAATTCTTCTCCAGATCACTCAGTTGCTTCATTGCTGTTGCTGACTTCCCCTCTCCACGTCACCTCTTCTCCTCACTCTTTGCCACATCATTGTCTTCTCTTTTATTATATAACAATCTGCCTTCACGTCACTGCACATCAACACAAACAATTATCCTGTAACATCTGCCCACCGAGATTATACATATAGACACACTGATTACCTTATTGAAGGTTAATTAGTTCTCTGTGTGATATGTCGCAGCTACTGGGTACACAGAATACCTTTTTGATGAACAATCTGGAAGAGTATGCAGGTAAGTGGTGACAATAACAAACACGTTACTCCTTCATATCTTTGTAATGCGTCGTTCCAATTGGTTTAGCTTTTGAAATATTTTCAGGCATGTGGAGCATTGGAATGTTCCCAAAATGGCACTGCTAAAGCAGCTTCTGAAGCCCAGGCAGGGGTTTTGGGGTGGTAGAAAAACCAGTGCTTGAAGAATTAATGCATGAACGGACCTTATGACTGATATGGGTTTCCAGGAAATGGATTAATAATTATAGTGTCCCAGATTATGCATTGACGGGGGATAGAATGAGCAGGGATCGTTGTACAACGATTAAGAATCCTAGCAAGAAATACAAAGCTTGTCATGTGCTGGACTGCTTTGAGAGTCCAGCTTTGTACATAGTTACAACTTACATGTAATAACAAACCAGTGTGAACCACAGGGAAGGTGCAAGTAGCGGTGGTCAGAGCTGAGGAAATGTTCTACTTGCCGTAAATTTTACATTTTGCAGTTTTTACCCATATTATGTATGATTTTAGTATGTTGTCCTCCTGTTTAATTCCTCCACTACTCGCTTGATTTAAACGCTCGATCTGTCTCTCTGGATTGCACCTAATCTCCCTCCCGGTCGTAAGTATTATAAAACAAACTAAATTAAAACATTACTCTACAACTAAAACAACTGTGGATTTTGAACAGCGTAAATCATTGTTCATAAATCACTATTCATTATTATAGTTTAGGTTTTTTTTTTGTAATTTTTAAGTTGTTTTATTTTGGTCCTTAAAATTTTAAAATCTCTTAATTGATGCACTACACATGCCTTCTTTTTTCTTTGTTTTTTCAATTAATTTATGTTCTTTATTTATTTATTTCGGTGTTAAAATTCTGAAAAATCAATTTTTTGTCTTTTCTGATCAATTGATGTTTTTTATTTAACTAGGTGTTAAAATTTTAAAAAAATTAATCCTAAATTTTTTCATACAAACTGATTATTATATAATATATTTTTTTATATTTTAAAATTAAGATATACTTCAGCTTCTATAACTTTTATTATTTAAATTTTATTTTTTGAATTTCTCATTTTTTCTGAAAGTTTTGATCCAATTAATATTTTTTATATGAAATTTTATTTATTGATAACTAATTTTTTTTTTTTATCTATGTTTGAATGTTAGAATAAAATTTTAAAACATAATTATTTTTTTAAAAAATAAATTGGTATAATATATATCATGAAATCTTAAATTTTTTAAATGATAGTTGCATATATATATAAATATATAATTATTTTATTCTAAAAGGTTCAAATTGTATTTTAAATAATTTCTCTCGGTTTACTAGGTATGGTTAAGACATATAAAACAACTATTGAATCGTTGATTTTATTAAAAATTAACTATACATCATCCAATATAATACAAATTATTTACTATGAATATTTTTTAACATTATAGAACCAATTTATTTGAAATAAAATAATTAAAATAATTTTTTAAAGTAACCAATCAATTATTTAAATATTTTTTTATGCTAATTTTATTGATTATTGTGTGTGTGTGTATTAAGTGCATATACTTGAAAAAAAAAAAAACCTTCTTACCAATATTAAATAAGAATAAAATTTTATTTTTCATTAATTAATTTTTATGCAAGTTTATACATTAATTGTAACTTTATTTTTTGGATATATTCTTATCAAAAAATATAATTTAAAGTATTCCTTTTTGAATTCTTAATTAATATTCCACGTTTAAATTATAATAAGTTTTTATTTAAGAATTCTCGAATAAAGAAGAATAAATCATGTTTTTTAAGCAAAAATTTTATGAAAAATAGACAAAAAAGTAATAATTAAATAAAAAATTAATGAAAAAATTATAACATTTTGAAATGATTTTGTTTTATTTACCCGTAGCATTGCATATATAATTTCAAAAATTAATCTTCTCATAAGCATTAAATAAGAATCTTTTTTGTCATTTATTAATTTTTGTAAAAGTCTCGTCCATTAATTATAACTTGATTTTTTGAAATATAATATTATAAAAATTATATTTCTAATTTTTTTAATTATTGATTAATATTTTAGTTAAAATTATTATAATTTTTAATTTTAAAATCAATTCTTAAAAAAGAATGATTTATGTTTTTCATTAAGTATAAAAAATTAATAAAGAATATTAGAAAAAAATAATTAAATAAAAAATTTTAAAATTTAAAATAAGTTTGTTCTATCGGATCTCCGGTGTAGCGCGGGTAATCGACTAGTACATTTACTAATCATTTTACTATTTAAAATACTATTCATACACTCACAAATCACTATTCATATACTCACAAATCACTATTCTTTTCACTATTCATGTCAATTTTTTAACACTTTGGTCCTCAAATATTTAAATTTTTTTTTCAATTTCAAAATTTAATTATATTGTGATTTGGTCTCGTTTTGTTTTAGTGTTTTCTCGTTAATTATTTTTATTATTTAAAATTTACTACTTTAATTTGTCATTTTTTTAAAAAATTCTCTCTCTCTCTGTTTTTTGTTTTTTCAATTTAAAACTTTAAATATATTGTGATTTGATCTCATTTTATTTTAGCGTTTTTGTTAATTATTTTTATTATTTAAAACTTACTATTTTAATTTGTCATTTTTTTAAAATTCTCATTCAATTAATTTAAAATTATATTTACTAATAGTTTTGATTTATTTTTTCTATATGTATGGATTTTGTCATAAAATTTTGGAACATGGTTATTTTTTCTTTTGAAAAATAGATTTAGATCATTTTTAAATTATAGTGGCATGATTAATATATATAATTTATCTAAAATAAATTTTTAGATTAAAAGTGTCTTTCAAATAATTTTTTTTCAGTTTTTTATATTATTTAAAATTTACTAAATTAATTTGTCATTTTTTAAAATTCTTTTTTTTTCAATTTCAAACTTTGATTATATTGTGATTTCGTCTCTTTTTTTTTAATATTTTTTGTTAATTATTTTTTATTATTTTAAATTTACTACTTTAATTTGTCATTTTTTTAAAATTCTTATCTAATTAGTTTAAAATTATATTTATTAACAGTTTTGATTTATTTTTCTATATGTATGGATTTTGGAATAAATTTTTACAATATGATTATTATTTTTTTTGAAAAATAGATTTAGATACTTTTAAATTATAGTGGCATGATTAATATATATAATTTGTCCGAAATACATTTTTAAATTAAAAGTATTTTTCAAATAATTTTTCTCGATTTTTTATTATTATTTAAAATTTACTACATTTATTTTTTATTTTTTTAAAATTCTTTATTTTTTTTCAATTTCAAACTTTGATTATATTGTGATTTCATCCCATTTTATTTTAATGTTTTTTGTTAATTATTTTTATTATTTAAAATTTAATACTCTAATCTGTCATTTTTTTAAAAAAATCTCATCCAATTAATTGAAAATTATATTTACTTACGAGTTTGATTTATTTTTCTATATGTATGGATTTTGAAATAAATTTTTAGAGCATGATTAGTTTTTCTTTTGAAAAATAGATTTAGATAACTTTTAAATTATAGTGACATAATTAATATATATAGTTTGTCTAAAATATATTTTTAGATTAAAAGTTTATTCCAAATAATTTTTCTCGGTTTTTTTTAAACTCAAATTAATTAATTAATAGTTGAAATTCAAATGTGAAAAATAAAAAAAAGATGGTTGCTCGTGCGTGAGGCCTATATTTAAAGACTAGCCATGCGTAGTATAGAAATAAAAAAATATTTAAGAAGGAGAAAAAAAAAAGAATTCACATGTTTTATTAATTTGTTTCTTCTTTATATAATCAAAATTATTGAAAATAAAATTTGTAATAATTTTTATTTTAGTCTATTAACTTAAAATTTAGTCAATATATACTTTGCAAGTTAACTTTTTATAGTATTTTTTGTTTTAGATTGAAAACTCGCTTATTATAGTTATGATGTATAAAAAAATATTGAATCGTTGCTTTTTTAGAAATCGATCGTGCAACTACTACTCGCATTAAGCATTTACTATTTATTTATTTGTTTTTGAATATTTTAAAATTAACTTATTTAAAATTAAATAATTAAAATAATGTTTTAGCTTAATCACTTAATGATTCAAATTAATATAGTTTTTCTATTTTAATATTATTCATTCTTTTGTATATAAATATATAAAAATTAAATTCACATTTTTTCAAAAACCAATATTCTCATCAACATTAAAAAAATAAAAATTATTTGTTCAATTCTATATAAGCTTTTAATAATTGTTATTTATGTTTTTTGACACAATCTTATGAAATACTAAAGCTTTTGTTTTAAAAAAAATATTTAATTTTCTTTTTAGTTAATAATCCATGGATTAACAAGGATGAATCATTTTTCTAAAGGAAAAATTATGAAAATCACAAATAAGAAATAGTTAAATATAAAATTTTTGATTAAATAATTTTTTACACCTTTGATTTCAAATATTTTTATAAATTCACACTATAAAACGGACTATTAAACTGAAATAATTTTTCTAAACGATTTTATATATTTTATTCAATCCATAACGTAAGCGCGGATAAAAAAATTAATATATCCTAAGTTTGCTTGTGATTGTTCGATAAATTTTAAAATATTTAAAGACTATCTATATTAACGTTATAGAAGAGATAAAGATATTAAAGAAAAAAAAAGGGAGAGAGTACTGAAAATGATAATAATATTTTCATTTAGCACACTGGAGCTTTTGAGAGGGCCTGAACACCCAACGGCAACTCATGAGCATAATTACCTCATGAATCAGCTATAAAGTTAGCTTTCTGTATACATGAGCCAAGTGCACAAACCAGTCTCTTGTAAGCATTTGCTTGATGACATTAACCAAAGGAAAATTATCTGTAAAAGATATTAGTGACATGGAATTGAAGAGTGATTGGGTATTTTTTTATATCCAATCCCGTGACATGGTAAATGTCTGGTCATAATTCTGCTCAATGCCGTGGTATTTGGTTCAGTACCTTGCGAAATGCATGTACTTACAGACTTTAGTTGCCATGTCACCATCACAAATTCGCAAGAATGCAATGTCCTTAGATTTAATCCAAAAAAAGAAAAAAGAAAAAGAATACCAATTGAAGTCGCACCAACCTTGTTTAAAACGGTTTTTGTGTCATTAAATTAGAATGGAAGTTTCAAAAAAGCAACCTGACAGTTAAGATTTATGAGTCTTATGATGGAATTTAGGATGAGAACTTAGCCGATGAAACCAAAAGGAAAAGAAAAATAAAATTGTTAAAACAAGGAGAATACTTTAGTTTTTTGGAATTACTTGTCAAGCGAAAGGCACGTGCCACTGCAGTAAAAAATGGGCTTTCTTAATGCCAGGGCGAGATAATTCTTTTCGTATGAGCCCACGTACAAGGGTTATATATTCGGGTCAATCCGAGTCCAAACATAAACACTCGGGTCGACCGGATAGCTAATTTAACAATTTATACCCAAAATTTCATAAAATAAAAATATGACCGTCACTTGAAGAAAGCAAAGCAAGAACCTCTCCTTTTTGTTTCTCTCTTTTCCTCTCTGCAACTCTCAGATTCCTCTCCACCATGGCGTTTCCTTACATGGAAGCTGTAGTCGGTATATCCTCTCTCTTCAATCTTTATCTCTCAACTCAAAAAAAATAAAAATCATTAGCTTATTTTTGTCTTAACGCCTCATTTATTCTTTTACAATTTTTTCGATTATTTTGCGATTGTCTTCGATTAGGGTTTAGCTAGCGTCACATTTTTATTCATTTCTTGATTTTATTTTATTCTGTTTTTTATACATTTCTGTTACTGCGATAGTTATGCGTGGTTTTTAATTTGGATATTGGAGTTTTATTATTATTATTATCATTTTTTTGAGCATCGGGGTTTATTTATGAAGAAAAATCTTTCCTTGGGGGGAAAAAATGAAAGTGAAGAGTTTTTAGGCTTGAATGGTGAATTTTTTATTTTTTTTAAGCTCTTGGGTCAACAAAAAGAAAACAAACCTTTTGTTTTGCTGTTTCTTTATGCTTATTTGAGGGTTTTCCAAGAAACTAAAGTTAGAGGGAACTTTCGAGATTTTTTTTATTTTTCTTAGTTTTTTAGGGCTACCAAATTGATGGTAAAGAAAGAGCAATAAATTATGGCTACCAAATTTAGGGCTAAATGATTGAGAATGGACCAAATGCGAAACTGTGGTAACACACTTGCTCCAATAGCTGGAGCTGCTAAAGAACATTCGCATCTGCCTTTGTTGTTTGTATCTTTGATATTTATCAGTTGAGAATGTGACAGTTAGAGGCCATTGAGATACAAACCATTTGTATTAGTTGCAGTTTGATTCTTCTTTTTTACACTTCATTTGAATCTTTTTTGACGTTGGGATCAGTGGTTGGATGTTTTATGTTAAGGAGATTCTGACTACTGCATGGTTTGTCCTGATTTTCCAGGTTTTATGATACTCATGTATTTCTTTGAGACCTATTTGGATTTGCGACAACATGCTGCTTTGAAACTGCCAACTCTCCCAAAAACTTTGGAAGGAGTAATCAGCCAAGAGAAGTTTGAAAAATCTCGAGCTTATAGTCTTGATAAAAGGTTTGCTGTTTGTTGCAACTAGCTAGCAGTGATTCTTTTAGCTTTTCCTCATCTGGTTCTTAATGTATGTTTTCTTTGATTCTCACTAATGTTTTTTCCTTTGCATCTCTTAACTTTCAGCTACTTCAATTTTGTTCATGAATTTGTTACTATACTTCTGGACTCTGCTATTTTGTTCTATGGGATATTGCCTTGGTTTTGGAAGGTAAGTACTTATCTGCATTGTTAGTGGCGCTACTCTGTGGTCGTATTGTGATGCAATTCCATAGTTCAATCAAAGAAGAACTCAAAGTAAATTGCTAGATACGATGATTATGAATGAAAATCTTTATTTATGAAATGAATCAATCAAATACAATGCTCAAGTTCAGTTGAAAACACAAAAGAAGAAGAAAACTTCAAGCAGAATTTTCAGAGAGAAAAACAGAGAGAAACAGAGAAGGAGAGATACGGTTTGCCAAAAACTTAGAATACAATTCAAACCTTTTCTCTCCTCTATTAATATACTAGCCGTTAGAGACAAATCTAACTGACTAAGCCACATCATTAATTTCAATCCTTCGTGCCTCCTACATGTCTTCCATTTGTTTAGAAGATGCCCCACCTTGCCACATAATCTGCAACTAACATCTTCTCCACAGAATCTGCACTGCAACTAACATCTGCAATTCAAACAACAGTTACTTCAAAATCACCAGTCCATTTTCCTCGTATTGTCACCATCTAATTCTGTCCATAACTGCAGAAATCAGGAAGCTTTCTGCTTTTGGCTGGTTTCAATGACGAGAATGAAATACTCCACACCCTTGCTTTTTTGGCTGGTGTTATGATATGGTCACAGGTATGCTCTTGATTTCTAATTACTGTAGTCGATAATAACTGCCATATTTATGCTGCCTGACTTTATACAACAGTTTAGACTGTTGGTCTGTGATTTCAGTTATTTTTATTTTTCTTTTTTCTTGCACAATTAATTAGGTGGTAATTTTCACATGTGAATTGAGCACACAGCATTTGCAGTTATTTTTAAGATTATCAAGCAAGAATATACACAGGTGAGGTTGGGTTATTTTGTATAATAGTTCTGGTGTATGGATGAAGAGCATGCACATTGGCATCAATAACTTTCAAATCTACATCTTGAAAGAGGCGAGCTGGCAGAATACTGTAAGTCCCCATAGGAGAGACTCCCTGGTTGATGACACTGTTCATAGACCAAGCTAATAATTTTGATGTAATAGCATATGGCACAGACAAGACTTTTCTAATATAAACAATATCTGGTTTAGAATATTTGAGTTTTTACCTCTTCAGAAGGATGTTCTTTGAAGACTAAAATAAGTATTTTATTTATCATGTATATTGCCTTGCTTTTTGTTTGTGTGGATATTTTAATTGGGTTTGCGTATAGAATTAATAACACAGTAATTCTATGATTCATTTTTTTAAACAAAGAAATTAATGTTATTCTATTTTTGCTGGTGATTATCACATTCTTTAGCATTGTTTGGAATGCTGTTTGGATTGGAGTACCCTCATAAGCAAATGCATGTAAGACACATTTTCAAGTTCCTCAACTGATACTATTTGATTGATTTTTCTGAAATATGTTCATGCAGATTACCGATTTGCCATTCTCTCTCTATTCAACTTTTGTGATTGAGTCCCGACATGGTTTCAACAAGGTTTGTATTCTCTTTCATATCATGTGATTTTCACACATCTTGTTACTTATTAGAGTACTAATTCTGTGTTGGTGGATCTGCATTTCTTTTACTTGTATGTGCACTGGTATAAAATATATAGTTGTTTGAATTACTATCCATTTTATATCTCATCTCTTGTAGGATTCTAATATATTTTCCATTTGTACAGCAAACAATATGGCTGTTCTTTAGGGACCTATTCAAAGGAATTTGCCTTGCCATTGTACTTGGCCCACCAATTGTTTCAGCTATTATTTTAATAGTACAGGTTCGTTCATCTGCCAGTGTTGATGAAGTGGCCAGTTATTTGCAGCATTTGTTTGCCATCTGCTGTCAACAGTTGGTCATTTTTATTCTCGAATTGATGATGTTGATTTGGAATAACTGGTAGCTTTTATTCTAAAATGCTCTTACAAGTTACAACTCTGTTATCTGCTTTTGTGAATGTCCAAGTCTGCCCACATTATGTTGAGTTTTTGTTTGCATGGTTGCAGAAAGGAGGCCCTTACCTGGCCATTTATCTATGGGCATTCATGTTTGTTCTTTCTCTGGTCATGATGACACTCTACCCAGTTTTAATAGCCCCACTCTTCAACAAGTTTACCCCTGTGAGTATTTGAAATTCCTTACACTGTGAAATTCATTCAGGCCTATGTCATGCTTGATTAATGATCTTTTTCCCCCCTATTTTTGTTGTGACAAATAGCTTCCAGACGGAGAGCTCAGGGAGAAAATCGAGAAACTTGCTTCCTCTCTCAAGTTTCCTTTAAAGAAGTTGTTCGTTGTAGATGGATCCACAAGGTCAAGCCATAGCAATGTGAGGATTCTTACTTTAGAATATTTATTGAGGTTTCTTTACATTACTTGCAACCTTTCTTCCAGTATACAGTGTTTTGTTTTTGTTCGTTTCCCTGCTGTTTCTCGAACATGAAGTAAACCAGTGCTTCTCGTCCCTATTTATATTTCCAAGTCCCTTTCTTTCCAATCAAAAGAATTATCTATTTTTCTTGTTCAAACTGTTCACCTTACTTAAGGTCAAGGTAAACTAACAGTATTGCTATTCACTCAAATCAGAATTGCAGGGGAACTTTTACCGAAAGCTGATGTCTATTTGAGTAATTGATTGTTTAAAGCGCAGAAAAAATGCATTAGATAGGTGCATTGCATGTGGTTGGCTCACATTTTCCTTACTGCTGATATTGATATCATACATGGTTGCTGGTGCTTTCTTTATTGTCAAGTCATCTGTACTTTCACCATAAGATTGTGTTTGACAATCTACTTTTCTAGTCTGTTGTGGATCAAATTAATATTCTATTAACAATGTGCAGGCCTATATGTATGGATTCTTTAAGAATAAGCGAATCGTACTGTATGACACATTGATTCAGCAGGTGAGTTTGCCTTCCTTTCTGGATTTTTTTCCATATTATTATTAACCTTATCGAACTGAGCTCATGAAGACTATATGTTTTTTTTTCCTATATCCATTTTATTTTGACGACCTTCTTTTGTTTGAAGCAATATCTGTGAAATACAGGAACTGCTGGTGTTTTATTATCGAAATAGCATTATATTTGAAATACTGATGCTGCCCTAATTGTATCATGCACTGAGTGCAATTGTTAACTTCAATCATGCTGTTGGTTGCCTTCTTGGAAGTTAAAATGCGTTCAGAATGACAAAACTGTATGTATATTTGGTCAACATAATTGCTGGGTTCACTCGACAGCTTGAAGAAACAGTGTTGTATTTAGGGATAAGGGTTCTGTTGTAATTTTGTCCAACATACTAGAAGTTTGAACAGTAAGATGCCAGTTAGTGGCTTCTGGTTAAGCTGCTGGATTTGTAGCCTTTTTAGTGAGTGGACGCCTGGTCCTTAAAAGGACTTCTCTCTTGTGTACCTTAGCTGCTTAGCAACTTGGAAGCAACCTCCGTAGATAACTCCCTCCTGTTTGTCTCCTCAAAGGAATCCCCTTTAGTTGCTTACTTATGACTAATTTTTCTAGAAATACTTCCCAAATAGGCTATGTATGCCCTCGTACATATTATTTTGGGTGAAAGGGAATAAGAATTTTCAGCTCCTTTTTTCTTGCATGTTTTGGTATGCCATTCTAAATTGCATGTCGTATACATTCTTTTTTCAGGTGTGTTGCCTAAGATTTCTTAGCGAATGATTCCTTTAAACTGTAGTCTGGTGTTAGGTTTTCCTGTCTTCCTCATTGTCTAGGTTTCTTTCATGATCTTAGTTTCATCTAATCTTTCAATGAGCCTTCTCCACTGAAACCATTATTTGGAGGTTCCTCAATTCCTGATCTCGAGGTGTTGGATTTGATCAAAATCCTACACCAAATTTTCGAACTCTGATCTGATACACATCCTCCAACATTAGTAACCTAGAACCTACGAATTAAAGCTTAGATTTTGCTATTTATGGGAATTGAAATACTGGCAGTTACTGCACTCTTGTAAATGGCCAGATTATAAACCTATAGGGTGTGGGTTGCTGACTCTGGCCATTTTTTGGTGGCGCTGCCTCCAGTTAGATCCTTGTCAGATCTTATGGAAGACATTCTCCCTGTCAAATTCAAATGGATAAGAAATGTGGTGTTTGCCTTCGATTTTTCTTTATAAGAGTTCCAAAGGGGTGTCTCCGTGGCCTTTGCCTGCTTCAAAATTTTTGATACTGATATCCATACAATCTTAAAAAAATGTACTGTTGCGTTTTTTAAAATACATAGTAGCTCTCCAACCGGGAAGGACAGGTGGGGTGTAACATATTATACATTACAAGAAGCATGTTCTTTGTTATTATTTAAGGACCAGAGCATTTTTGCAATCTATTTACCAGTTTCTCAAGTTCCCACTCTTCCTGGCAGTCTGAGCAACTTTGTCCTCGAACCATTTAGTCTGTGCCCTTATTTAGAATTATGGTTTAAACGTGGATATACTTTTCCCTATGTTGTGAAAGCATCTTTACATCTATGTGATTCTTTGCAGTGTAAAGATGATGAGGAAATTGTAGCTGTTATTGCCCATGAACTGGGACATTGGAAACTCAATCATACAATGTACTCATTCATTGCTGTGCAGGTATGCTGTAATTGCTTTCTTACAAATTGATTTTTAATTCTATTTGTGCATAAAAATTCTATTAGAATGCCATATATATGTATACCATCTGAAAGGCATTGTCTGAGACTATCATTGAGAAAAGGCTCAGAGAAAACTTTGCCACAGATGCTGTTGCACTTTGATACTGTAAATGCTTTGGTTTGAGATTAAAACTTGAGGATTTGTTCATGAGCCTGATGAGAAAATATTGTTAAAAAAAAAAAATCTCGCATTGAAGCTCAAGAAAAACTTAATACAATGCGCTAAAAAACACATTATGGAATCTCAATCTGTGTTTTGGTTGGAGAGTTTACTGTTTTGGGTAAGGATTTTCCAACCATCCTCATATAGGCGTCCTTTCACTTTACTTGTAAACTTATGACTGGTGTATGATTCATTTTTGTTGTTGTATGCTCTATTATTCTGCAGATTCTAACGTTTTTACAATTTGGAGGATACACGCTTGTGAGGAACTCGACTGATCTCTTTCGAAGTTTTGGGTTCGATACACAGCCAGTGCTCATTGGACTGATCATATTTCAGGTATTGCTGATATGAAAACAATTGCTGTGAGGAATGGAAATGCTTATGTTTTTTCTTTCTTTTTTGGTGTATTGGGGTGGTGGGTGGTGGTTGGCTGTCGTGGTGATCTGTTGGGTTTATATGACTTGCTTCCTTTTTTGCAGCATACAGTAATACCTCTCCAACACCTTGTAAGTTTTGGTCTTAATCTGGTGAGCCGATCTTTTGAATTTCAGGTAACCTCTACCTCTCTCTCACTCTCCTTCTGTTTCTGTGTGTCTGAAAGTAATCTATCTCACGTGATGTAATTGTTTGATGTAGGCCGATGCTTTTGCTAAAAAGCTTGGTTATGGCTCTGCCCTTCGGGCTGGTCTTGTGAAATTACAGGTGATCTTTTTAACTTGTTTCCTGTACCTGTATAGCAGACTAAAAGTAGTGGAGATGGGCTTGTTTATATTTCTTGCATTCCGATGTTTGTGGGATCTAAGTACTACATAGCCAAATTATTCTTTTCAAATCCATTTTTTTCCACTATGCTTAGCAGAGTCTAGATGATTGTTGGTTTGACAGCAGCACAGAAAGTTTTAGTATTCCATTAGTTGATTGTGTGCCTGGATTGATCTTTGATTGGCTCGCATAATCAGAATGGCTTATTTTTCCACGTAGAGCTATACTTATAGTGTATGCTCTTAGGAACGATGAGGCCTATTAAGTCTGGGCTTTTTATTGGATTATCAGCAGTGATTTATATTCAAGTGTTATTGGTGGAAATGCACATGGCTGAACAGCGTGTCAATTTTTTTCAGGAAGAAAATTTGTCATCTATGAACACGGATCGTTGGTACTCAGCATATCACTATTCTCATCCTCCCCTTGTTGAAAGACTGGCAGCGATTGATGAACCAGATAAGAAGGCTGACTAACAAAGGGCAATCTGTGGGTAGCTACCCAAGAATTTAATTCATTTCATTGCAATTGACAGAATACTGGAATAGTCAGTCAGCAGTTGTAATGTTACCCTATATGAGTTTTGTTGAAGCTTAACACTTATATAGTTCCCAGGTCTGAGAGAGGGGAATAGAAAGGAACAGGAGAAAATCAACTGGAAACAGTGAAATTTTAGTTACACATTGTGTTTGCATGAGCTAATGATCACAGGACCTGTTGATTATGTGTTTCAAGCCTGATATGACATCCTTACTAATTTCGAGCAACCAATTTTTTTTATATATATATGAAAAAAATACAATGAACCTTGTATCCAAAAGGGCGAGCTGCTAAAAACCCCTTGTATTATTTCAGGTAATTTTGATATTTTCTCTTGGTATTAGCAAAATTAATTTGGTTTTGAATGGGAATGACTTGGTAACTCAAAATTGCGTCACGCTCTGTGTTTTGATCTTTATGCTTAACTCGTCACGTGATTGCATATAGGTTTAAAAGCCGACTCCATTGCTGGCTGCTAAAAAGTTGAATAGTTAATGTAGTATTTTATAATCCACTGCTAGCAGTCAGTTTACCAACTAACTGTAGCTGAACCACTGGATGGATTGCTGTTCCGTTGTTTTTTCATTCTTAGATTCCTTCTCTCTTCTTTGTTTGATGGATGGTTGCTTCGTTGCTTCTCAAATCAAAATTTGTATCGGAATTGACTTCACGTTGGAACCACGGATTTTCTACACAAAAAAAAAAAAAGAACTACTGAGTTTGGATTTGAGTACAGCAATTCATAATCCACACCCCCTCAATACATACATAAACAGTGCTATATTCTTCTTAACTCCAATCAAATGAAGAAGGAGATAAATTATTTGCAAGAAGAAAACAATAAAGAAACATGAGATGTGAGGCTTTACTAAAGATTTCAAGAAAAGCACAGCTGTCATTGGGCACGAAACCAACCAAGTGATATTTTGTCAAATTCCAGAGTCCATTATTGTGTCGTTGTCGTCTACTCGATTCTTACAGGACTTTCCACCATTTGGTGTTTTTATAATCAATCAAGAACCTTTTCCTATTGTGTCATGACTTGGATAAGATTGTAATAAAAAGATTCCAAAAGGATTACTTGCAACCTTCAAAATGCAGGAGTAGGATGAACTACACAATTCATAAATGTATTATCTAAACCATGATTTCAGTCCAGAAAATAAAGATCAGCACCAAACTCCTTTGATTTACAAAAGTCTCCCCTTGTGGGTCAGACTGGCCCACAGCTGGCTTAACATGAATGCATCAGCCATCATGTAGGGATTGATGGAAGCATGGGACCTAACGATGAATATTGCGCAACTGCCAAATGGAAATTATACACAAGTTCAGTCTTTAGTCTTTACTACACGTACCTAAGAACTAACGAAGGAAGGAAAACATAGAAAGCAGCTCCCTCTTCGTCTTAGCATCATTATCACCTTTAACGGTCACCTTTTTTTTGTCCGTGTAGTTGTCAGTGGCTATGTAAGGCATTCCCTAATTAAACTTTGCCAAATTCATCCTCCCATCCAACTAATCCTAATCCATAACCCAAATCCGAGAGAATTTATGGATGGTTGAAAAGGGCTAAATGAGCATCAATCCCTCAACTTTAGCTTATTTCATAATTAATTTCTCAACTTTTTTATTTTGATTTTTTTTTTAGAATTATGTTTCATTTAAAATCATAGCCTTTCTATTAATTTTTTTTTTGGTAGGATTTGCACTTAAAAAGCAGATGATTATAAAAAAATAATAACAATTCACATTTTCATTTGCAGAATTTACCAATGGAAACTTATAAAAATTACTTAAAAGCTTAATTTCAAGAGTAATGCTAGGCATACTTAATTCTTCATTGGGAATTTTTATGCAAAAAAAAAAAAAATGAAATCTTTATTAAAACTCTGTTATTAAATGCATGGCAACTTCTGATTAATGATTTATGAGTTAATACATTCTATAATTATTACTTTATTATTAATTGATAAGATTACTCCTTATAAATTAGAAACTTTCTATCTAATGAAATTCCACATCAAGCATTCATAGTACTATTCTCATTTCAAGTGAAACCAAAATTGAAAACGGTGTTTCTCAAATAAACTAAAGCTTCGAAGAGCTAACAACTATTATCACAAAAAATTATGCTTCTAATCATTACTGCTTAAAAGCTTTGGGATCATAATTTTAGAGATTATATATATATATACAGACACTATTTCGTATATGCATGACATACTTAAAATCTAATAAAAAAACTTAATTTCAATTCATGAAAAACAAAAACAAGGAACAAAAAAAAAAAAAAAGGTTCGATATATCCCTACATTAAATAAAATACTTGTTTTGAATGTGAGTGTATTTGTTATGCAAGTGAGCATTTCAAAACATAGAAAAATAATTTTTTTTTAAAAAAAATTCAGCATTGGAATGAATAAGGGTCAATATTTTCTTCATAATCATTAAGCGGCTGTGCTTTCTTATGGCCGTTACATTTCAGCACTTGGGTTTGATAGTAAGTTTGTTGCTCTTACTAAATATTAACTCCATCCAAAATTAGAAGTAAACAAAAAAAAAAAAAAAAAAAAACAATCTCCAATCTCACTTCAAGGACAAACACGTCCTTTAACCTTAATCCAGTCTCACTTCAGCTGACAGCTTAGCTTACTCAGACAAACTGACAGCTCATCTTCACACGCCAATGTTGCTCCTGTTTCTCTCTCTCCCTCTCTCTCCTTCCTTCCTTCCTTCCTTCCTCCAGAGGGAAATGCCTTTTGCTTTACTATCCACTTGATTCCTCTCTCCACATTTCTTTGGTTCCTTTCCTCGCTTATCCTACTCGCCGGGAATCTCTTTCTTTCCCTTTTCTTTTTCCGGCGAAACCTAATGCAACCAAACCAAGAAGTTCAATTGCATAAAAATTTCCGCTAAATCCAACTACGTGCAGCCCGTTTCTTCTTTTCTCATTTTCTACAGAAAACAATAGTAATGATGCCAGTATACGATGGTGCGTTTGTTAATAGAGAGCTATCAAAACCGACGTCAATTTTTGGTCTCCGTTTATGGGTAGTCATAGGAATCTTATTGGGCTCATTAATAGTTATTGCCCTCTTTCTCCTCTCTCTTTGCGTTACTTCACGTCGCAAGAACCGACAATTCAAACAAACAAAGATAGATACCACTCCTCCAATCTCTAAAGAAATTCAAGAAATCGTGCACTTGCCTGTACAAGATCACAATCACCATGTGATTCAGGTGCCGGAGATTCAGGTTGAGATCGGGAAGGTGGAGCATAGAGTGGTGTTTTCGAGTGGGGAGAGTAGAGGGACTGCTAGCGGTGGTGAGACGGCATCGTTTGGGAGTGGAAGTGTGGGGCCTGAAGTGTCGCATCTTGGCTGGGGTAGGTGGTACACTTTGAGAGAGTTGGAAGCTGCTACTGGTGGGTTGTGTGAAGAGAATGTTATTGGTGAAGGTGGATATGGGATTGTGTATCGTGGGGTTTTGGGTGATGGGACTAAAGTTGCTGTTAAAAATTTGTTGAATAACAGGTGACATTTGTTCTTTTTATTGTTTCATTTGATGCCTTACAATTATTTGCATGTTTTCGTTTTTAGGTTAATGAGAAAAAATTGGAACGAATTGCATGTCTGTCTTTGATTTGTTGCTACTTGCTAAGGGATGATTTGATTAAGATGATTGATTAAAGTTTGGATCTTCACTTGTTATGGATTGAACTTGGGTTGTTTGAGATGTTTTAGGTTGTGAATTGCTATGAGAATTTGATATATATTTGCTTATTTTACTGTGTTTTAAGTTTCCATGGAGAAGAAAATTGCTAAGTTTAATTTCTGTGATGTGCTTGAGTGGTTATGATTGGTGTCTTCTTTTTTGATCTTCTGCTTCATTTTGCTTTTTTGGTTCTTGTCTTGCGTGTGGCTGGTTATGTGCTGTAAAGTGGCATACTGTTGTGGGATTATTTACTTTTTCTTGTCAAATCCCTGTGATCATTATTGAACCTGAGTTGATAATTTTGGAACATGAATAGGAGCTGCTACAGCCGACAGCAGTCTTCCATTTACGTCTTTACTGTCATTCTACTAAAATTATGCATGCTTAGGTTAGTAGCTCATGATACTAGAAATTTTCAGGGGTCAAGCCGAGAGGGAATTCAAAGTAGAAGTGGAAGCAATTGGACGAGTACGGCACAAAAATCTTGTCAGGTTGCTTGGATACTGTGTTGAGGGTGCTTACAGGTATGCCTATAATTATCTCCCAATTTGAAATTGAGTTTGTGTCTGGTGTGTCAACAGTTGCAATGTAATTGGTTTTGTAATGTAGAATGCTTGTATACGAGTATGTTGACAACGGTAATCTGGACCAGTGGCTACACGGCGATGTTGGAGAAGTCAGCCCTCTAACATGGGATATTCGAATGAACATTATATTGGGAACAGCAAAAGGGTAAGTGTTCTGAATTCCATTTCAAAGTAAACTCGTGATCCATATTGATGCATGCAATTGTCGGTCAAATTATCTGTTCTTGTTTTTCACTCAAGGTATTTCGTTTGCTACTATTGTTGTTGCAGATTGGCCTACCTTCATGATGGTCTTGAACCGAAGGTTGTTCATCGAGATGTGAAATCTAGCAACATATTACTGGATCGCCAATGGAACTCTAAGGTTTCTGATTTTGGGCTTGCCAAGCTCTTACATTCTGAGAGAAGTTATGTCACAACACGTGTGATGGGAACATTTGGGTCAGTTCGTTTCCTTTTTTTGAGTTCTGTTTCAAAAAATAATCATTTGCAATGCAAACTTTGTGCATGTAAGTTTTTTGAAACATTTGTTGGTTGACTTATAATTCTGTTAGGTAGGAAAAATAACTCCTATTTTGTTTTCTAGTTATGTTGCTCCAGAATATGCTTGCACTGGAATGCTGAATGAGAAAAGTGATGTTTATAGTTTCGGTATACTTATCATGGAAGTAATTTCTGGAAGAAACCCTGTTGATTATGGTCGGCCACAAGGAGAGGTTAGTTTTTACATATTCAAGAAATTTCTCTTTACCTATTTTATCTTTTATTATCATTTGCTGTAACTATAACTTTTGGAAATAACAACACAATTGCAGGTGAATCTGGTAGATTGGTTAAAAACTATGGTTGGGAACCGAAAATCTGAAGAAGTAGTTGATCCAAAGTTACCCGAGATGCCTGGTTCAAAAGCATTAAAACGTGCTCTCTTGGTTGCTCTTAAATGTGTTGATCCTGATGCAACAAAGAGACCCAAAATGGGACACGTGATCCACATGCTTGAGGCTGAGGATCTGCTATTTCGTGATGTATGCATCATTTCTTTTCAAACAGACATATAATCTGTGGTGTCTAAAGAAATGATATTTCTTTTTTAATGCATCGGTTTCCAGCTTATCGATTCATTCTTGTGCCATTTTGCAGGAACGTCGAGTTGGGAGAGAATCTTCCCATTCACAGCATGATTACGAACAAGAGAATAATGTTGCTACAAAATTTGCTGATAAGCAATTGGGTGAAGGGACTTCAGACACAAGTGAAGGTGATAGTGGTAGGAAACATCATCAACCAACTAGATGGAGATAATGTCATTGGAGAATTAGGTGACTAACAATTTTACATCTCTCCAAGTTATTGAATCTTTATTTTATTTTTTTCCCTGTAGGTATTTTAATGTGCTTGTTGTATCTTCAATTATAAGAAAACGATAATCCGCATTTGTTTTAAGCTTAGCTTTTTATACCTTTTCGGATATCCTACTTCAATCGGGAAGCAGTTGTGTGATTGAAAGATTCATTCATTATTCTTATAGAAAAATACTATATTATTGTTTCAATTATAAAACAAAATTACTTGTTTGTATACTAGATAGTCATCCAAAACTAGTTCTGAACTTTCTCAATTTATCGATTACTTCAAATTAGTCATGAGGATTTCCTGGATGTAGTTTGATTGTCCCATTCTTGTTCTCTCAATGTTTCTTTTACTAAGTTAGCATGGTTCCATTGCGACTTGTCACCATCATTGCCAGCCCCAAAACCAGATGTTTGTGGGAGATGGACCCAGTACCCAGCTAATTCATCTGTAGCAAACGTACTTGCAACTCTTTTCATGTGCTTTTCTCGTTGTGGATTGGACCAGCTAGCTAGGAAACAGCCAATATCTAGTCTGGAAATGGGGTCATGCCATGGAATTTATTTTACCATCGTTGCCAGAGCACATGCTTTTGCATTGTAGCCTTGCAATGACAATTTGCATAATACTGTTGAAGTTGACAGTTGTGGATGTATTTGGTGAGTTCATTTGTCACTTTGTTGCACTTTGCTATCCTAGGTTCGTGAATTGGTCTTATTGAACATTCTAGCCAAGCAATCTTGCTTACTGTATCAGGACAAAATAAATCTTGGTGAAGGCTTTTAGTCTGGTGACGAGTCCAATATCCTATACACAACCAGTCTAGAGATGACAAATTGTCTAAGCTTGGGGATTTCACGAGTTTTATTTGGGCATTCTTTTTGACTTGGCTTAGGAGCTGTTGATCGTCAATTCAGAATCCTTCATCCATTTATCTCTCTCATGCCAGTGGGGTTTCATATCAAATGTAGGAGCTAAATTATCTTCTTCCTTTTTTGTTTTTTTCCCCCTTCTATTCAACTTCCTGATACTTTGTTTGTATCCTGTGGGGCCGAGAAGCCTGCGTTCATGTGATCCTTTATTGACGGATGAGCAGAGAGTAGATCTTGTAGGACTACTTTTGGCCATAAGAATTAGGTGGAGGAAAGAATGAAGATGTATTTCATGAATGTAGAATTTGGATTTACGGTAGGTAGACCTTTAATTAAAGGTGCGAAATCTTTTTCTGACCTTTTGTAAAGGTAAAGTACGATGCGAAGATACAGCATGCGTTGCTCAATTCTCACTCTTCCAGTCCATTGACCCCAATTCTCGTTCAGAAGTTTTAAAAAGGGGAAAGTGTATTAGGAATGTTTTAGGCATTATGGAGGAATGAGGCTGATTAATGCTGAACTTTATTCGAATCCAAAGGTGGAGAGGTACCTACTTATGTTGCCCCTTAAACCCTAGCTTTAATTACTTGTAAACACTGCATATGGCAGGACAGCTGTGTTATCAGCTTTATTAATGGTTTGCCATGCTGCAATGTTGTTCAAGCTCACTTTTTTCCTTTTTGTTATTAAAAAACAAAGGAAAAACTTAATCCAACCGTCATACGTACGAGCTTACAGAAGACGGTCTCAGCTGTCTACCGAATAAAAATATTGACCTCGAGCAACATAGATTGGCTGTCCCCAATATTGTAACTGATCCAATGACCCATTTCCCACCACCAACCATCTTGGAAGTTGAACCATCTTCGTAACATTTCCATCTATAAGGTTGGTCAGGTGGTTCACAGGAGTTGGATTGGACTCATGTTTTGAGTTCGAATTTCCAGCCATCGTTGGGTTACATAGCATCAATCTTCATTGTCCATATTTGAACCACATCTACGGAATTGGGCCCAGGCTCTCGACCTGGCACATCTGGGCAGCACAGTTAGTGTGTCATTGGACCAAAAGACTTGGGCATCCTTGTCATCCTACGATATTTGACTCAGGTAGACCAAACCAATCACGTAATAGAATCCATTACAGCAGCCAGTAATGATAGAAGAAGTCATTGCAACTAACCTATCAAACTGTTCTGATATATATCGGGATAGCAATTTGCCCTGCACAACGAGACCTCGCTCCTCCTCGTCCCGATCGATGTGAAGATTTTTGAGTTGATTCAGAAATGGAGCAGGGCATCACGCCTCGCTCCTCCTCGTCAAGACGAATAGGGGATGGTATTTGTCCATCTCATGTCACCTTGCTTTTTTTTTTTTTAAAAAAAAGAATTGTAATTATATTCAAAATATATATAAACTCTGAAGTTACAAACTAATCTTCAGTGTAATGATTGAGTTTTGATAATCTCTAAAGAATAAAGACATGTAAAATTTTTTATTTTTTAATTATATATATGATGTTAAACTATTATCTTTTTTAATTGTAATTTTTATATAAGGGAGGCACAGGTGGTCCGTGAGAATCCATATCCCTTGTCCTACACTGGGACTAGGCAGGGCCACCTCATTGCCATTTATATATATATATATATATATCTATCTTGTAATGGTAGTAATAATTTTCTTAAGATTCCAAGTAAAAGAGGCTTGGTCAGTAAAGAGGAGCATGGCAGCACTCGTATTTTTGTAGCTGCCTCCTATGTCCTTTTTAGTTTGAGTTCTTTGGTGGGCTGAGTCCATTTGTGAACCCTTTGCCAATGTCGGCGTTGGCCATATCTTCCTAGGCCCAGCACTTTCCAATGACTACTGTCTACTGCCTCAACTGTAAATATATAATAAAATAAGCTATTTTTCTTGGATCCTCTCTCGTTGCTCCCAAAAATAAATAAATTCCAAATATAATATTTTGGTCGGCAAATGAGGTCCAGATAGCACAACTCTGGGCAATTTCGTGTGGTTGGAAGCAAGGATTTTGTCCGTTGGATCGATCACATGCATTAAATAAAATCAAGCTTGATTTTCCTTACCTTACCTTTCTCTGACCCACCATTTCTGCTCACAAAATAAAATTCTACAAAACAAAAAAATAAAAAATAAACCAAACTACAGTAATCCCCATGAATATCTATCCGTTACCACAGCTCTCCACTCACATCCTTCCACGTACAACATCTGTCACCAATTTCCTTATAACAGCCAGTGACTCCATCTTTAACTACTCCTTCGCCTTCAAAACTAAACAAAGGCCTCACCTAACGTCCATCGATTAAACCGGAAACTTTCAACAAAGCTCCGCGTTTCGAAACTTTTCTCTGAAATTTCCTATCTTTTGCAACTATTCCTTCAGGTACAGTTTCTCTTTTAACTATTTTATTTCACGCAAAAAATTTCTATTTTGGTTTCTTTTTTCAACATCTTAGATCTGTGTTTTTTTTTTTTTAATATATATAGTAAAAATAATTAGGGTTAGGGTTTCAAATTTTTTTTTTACTTTTTAGGGATTCTTTTTCGAGTCTCGTTTTGGCTTGGTTGCTATTTTGATCTAAGGATCTGACTTTTGGGTGAGTTATTAAGTTTGAACTTTTTTGTATATGAATTATGTGCTTTTTTTTATTGTGTTTTAATTTTAAGAATAGAAGACATGAATGAAATGATAGATTCATGGATCGAAACTTTGGATTCGATTTGGTAGGAAAGGAGCTAGAGTCTTTTTTTTTTTTTTCAAATTAACTGATTTTTATTTTAATCGATTTGAACTTGAAATTCTTGTGTGAATGAGATAAAGAGAGAATAAGAATTGATGCTGTGCCTTTATGTTTTAATCTGTGGTTATTGATTTTAAAAGATGAAGACTGCTCAATAACTGGATATGCATAACTGTTGTTTATAGATTTTCTTTTGTCGAGCTTTTGTTGTGTGTTCCTTTTTTAAGATCTATATGCTTTATAGGTTTTTCTTTTAGGTTAATGGTGTTGGAATTTGTTTTCTGGGTCTTTGGTAAGAGTTTCGCATAACTTTCTCTTAGGAAGGACATGGAGGTTTAAAGAAAGGACCTTTGTTGGAGATGTGGTTCTTTCTTATGTTCTCTTGTTGAGTTGTTTTCATTGTTTTTCTAAGAAGCTCCTGTGATAAGTTTTGCAATTCATCTTGTTTAAGTTTGGGTCCTAATTGCTATCTATTGATTGTAGGTGCGGTTTATGGTTGATTTTGTGTGTTTTTCTTTTGATTTGTTGTGCAATAAGATTAATGATTTTGTTTTACCAAACTTGTTGCAGTAAATTGTTGAAATGAGTCAACCACAAGAGCCACACCGCCCTTTCTTTCCATTTGGAAATCCTTTCAGGATGTTATCTCCAAAGGGTTCTCAATTGTCCCCAAGGCTTCATTCTCTATTAAATGCTTTTGAGGAAGCATTGGCAGCAAGGTTGCGGAAACTTAATCCAAAAGACAAGGATGATGTTCTCAGCTTGACATGGATGAAATTGGCAATGGAGTCACTCTGTGAGACTCATACTGACATAAAAATCCTCATCACAGAACTTGAGCTCCCTGTGACTGACTGGGATGAGAAATGGATAGATGTGTACTTAGACATCAGTGTGAAGTTGCTTGATATGTGCATTGCTTTTAGCTCTGAGCTCTCACGGCTGAACCAAGGTCATCTCTTTCTTCAATGTGCCCTGCATAATTTGGAGTCCAACACTTCGGAGAAGTTATTGCGGGCACGTTCTTCCCTTGAGAGCTGGAGACAGCACATTGGGTCAAAGAATCCAAGACTGGAAAACTGTAAATCCATCTTGGGGAGTCTTGTGGATTCCTTGAGTCTGCCAAAGGTTAAGAACTCAGCGAAAGGAAAGGTGTTGATGCGTGCCATGTTTGGAGTTAAGGTACAGACAGTGTTTGTATGCAGTGTCTTTGATGCTGCATTTTCAGGTAAATCAAAGAATCTGTTAGATTTGGATGTCTCCAACACAATATTGTGGGCTCGAGCTTATTCTGATATGCAAAATATTGTAAATGGAGAAATTAGAGATATATTTTCTCGTGGGAAATTTACTGTCTTGAAACAATTAGATGAGGTTGATACGGTTGTGAACAATTTGTATCCCCTGATCCAAGATGGCACGGGACCTATTGAAGTGGAAGCATTCAGGAGTTCTTTTTCAGATTTGGGGATGAGAGCAGAAAAACTTTATCAAGGGCTAGATTTTCTTGCTAAGGAAGTAGATGGCTTTTTCAAAATAATTTTAAGTGGGCGTGATGCTTTGCTTTGTAACCTGAGAGTGTGTGACACTGTTGCTGACCCATTCCTAGAGAATAACGGGGAACAGGTTGTAAGATAGATGGTTATGTTGAAGCTGCATATTATTATGTATAGTTTAGGTATGAGATGTTCCCTTAGTAGTATTGTCTTGTGTGGCCTGTCTTGTCCTGTGTGGTGTGAGGTATCTTGTAGTACTTTCTTACTGGTTTGTACAAGGATGTTGTGCGATATAATGTTAACAATACATGAAATGCTTTGTGCTATTTCACTACGTGTTATGTTTTACCCTACCTCCCCTTCTTCCCCAAAATCTTAATGCTGCTTTTTTGAGGCGTTTGCAATAGGATTATGCTGCTTAACTGACCTCATGGAGGATGCAAAGTGTGGTGTTTCCTCTTATAGCTATCCATACATGCATCTTTGTCTTCAGGGTTTTTTCTTGCATTGTGCATGAAGGCTGAAGAAGTCTGAGGTTTACTGTATGGTAACCATGATAACTGTTGGTGGAATTCAGTTGGGTCTATTATTTCTTTCCAAAGTGCAAATACATGAAACTGTACATAATGTTTGATGTTCCTCCTCAACTATAGATGTGGTAGGGAGTGTCGTCTTCTCAACTTTGTTTTGTTCAGGGATGAAGTTATTACTAGTTGACAGTTTCACGTGGTAAGCATCGTTCTGCCCCAGCTTCATTTGTATTTCACTTAAATTGCAGAATGTTTTTGGGTGTTGAATTGACCTAGAGTTATTGGTATATTAGATCCAACTAAAACGAGTTGATTTGTTTGCTTTTGTATCATTTCCAAGGGGTGCAAATTCGTGACTTTGAAACATGTTTGGAAAGAATCAGATTCACTGATCCTTAAGGTTCCTGAATTGGGATAAGATGTATCTCAATAGTGTCATTTTACAGGTTATGATCAATGCATTACATCTTCAATATTTGAGAATATTATTGAGAACACTTTTCTTATATGCTTTTTAGCAGTTGAATGAAGTAGTGCACTGACTAGAGTCAGATGATCCATGAGATGTTTCTGCAATAAACAGCCGGATAATCTGGGAATGGGTTGCGAGGCCAAGAAGCTTCTCTTTATTCCAGTGATACACATTGATGGGTATTCTTCTCTTGCCTTTCAGTAGAATCCTTAAAGCCATTTTGATGCTTGGAGCACAGTATTTGTTTACACTTCTCAACCTTGAACGTAAAAGGTCAGGTGCTGTGCCTCCTTGTGGAGGGAGCCTTTTGATGTTTGAGCGAGCGGAGGTTGAGTTTAAAATAGATGTGTGAATGCTGGAAAGTGGAAACTGGAGAGCAAGCCAAAGCAAGCGGCGGGATGCCAATGGATTCTTCATGGGTCAGGATGTTCGAAACTTGGGGGCAGCTCATGGAAGGCAAGGGTTTGCACAAGGAAAAATCATGATATGCATGTCGACTTTTCTTTCTGTGTTGTGTGGAATAGAATGTCTTGCCAACCAATGATAGAGCCATTCTTGATCTAAATTTGCAAAAATTGTTAAGAGGTTGGATTCTGCTCATTAGATTGTGACATCATCAGTTTAGCACGAGGCTAGATTCCTGGTTTAAATTTCATGAATTTTTATGACCTCGCTGAACATGTGGAATGTCCAGAGGTAACGAAGAAAATAATGGATTTTCCAGTTGGTGGATTCCATTGATAATAGAAAATGTCATTGCGGTTGAGAGATAAGGCCGTGAAAGACTTGCCACGTTCTTTTTCGCATTGAATTTGTCAAAAACTACTAGAAAGCCAGTGCCCCTAAGTGTAACTCTGCTGCAGCCTGCACTGCCCAGGTACCGGCGCTATAAGGACAGTATGGTTTTCCTTAAACAAGTTACAGGCATAAACTGTGCCCTGCGTCTAGGGGCAGAAGATGGCTTATTGTCACATACTCTTTCATGTGATGCGGTACTTGGCTCACTTTTTTTTTAAGTCAAATTAAATCACTCTTTTCTTATATAAGTAAGAAAGACATATAAGAGATATAAGAATTTTTTTATATTACTCTTTCTAAAAGCTTATAACTCTTTAAGATTATGTATTTTTTAGATTTCGAATGTCTTGATCAAATAAAGACATCATCTATTGATAGTTCTTCACTTTCTCAATAAATTATTAGAATCTATTTAATTTAATGACTACAATTGATTCTTTAGAATTATCCTATTTAGATATTTACAAAGAATTATCTAGATATGTACATGTTAGAATAATGACGGATTCTATAATTCTTTAGAATATGTCTAAATCTTTCTTGGATATCTTAGAGGCTTCTTCATTACTTCGTAGCCTTTTAGAGGCTCTTGGGCTTATCTAGCATTCTTAATTGACCTCCGTAAATATCTCTCTTTCAAACGGGGTGTAACATTTTCCTCAACCTAATTTGATGATATCCTCGACGCGTCTTCATTATACTCTTCGACCTTTAATATGAATTGCCACAAAGCTTCAACGAGTTTCCAGTTAGCCTCGCTTTCTAGTAATCTCTTTCATTTTACATAACACTCCTTTCTTGGTGGCACTCCATGACGTCCGATCGTATGATCATCAAGTATGATATCAATTTCTTTGTCATATGAGTCAACCACTACTATAGGCGTTATATGAAAAACTCTTCGGTTTAGATCCTTTTCATCCTCATGGTATGGTTTCAACATACTAACAAGAAATATCGAATGGATTTTCAGCTTCGATGGTAACTCTAGGTTATAGGACACCTCTCTCACTTTATGTGCTAAATCGAATGGTCCTTCATATCGACATATAAGGCCTTTGTACACCTTTCGAAATGCCTTATGTTATTGTGGAAGTAACTTCATCATAATTTTGTTACTTGGTTGGAAGATAAAATCTATGTGTTTTTTGTCGGTTCACTTTTTCATCTTCTCGACAGCTTTGTTCAAATACATTCACGTCAAGTCCGTCCGCTCTTGCCATCCTTTAGCCAATGAATACGTTGTAGGGTTGCTTCTTTGGTATTTGTCACCAAGTATTATCGTATGTGCAATGAGAGGCTCGCGACTCATCACGATTTCGAATGGACTCTTATCGGTAGACTCATTCGTTTGTAAGTTACGGGAGAATTGGGTAACATCCAACGAACTTAGCCTAATCTCGCCGGTTGGCACTCACAAAATGCCTTAAATATGTCTTCAAGTAGCATTGATTCTCTCAATTTGCTTTTCTATCCGAGAGTGAAAACTTATGGAGTAATGCAATTTCGAATCCAACAAGTCGAACGACTCAATTCATAGCTTCCTAGTAAATCAAGAATCTCGATCATCGATTATATGTCGCCTCATGCCCTAATACTTCACCACGTGCTTGAAGAGTAGCTTAATGACATTTTTGGTCGTCATATCCACTAAGGTTGGTATGAAAGTGGAATACTTCAAGAACTTATCCACAACTATGATAATGCTCTCAAAGTTTTTCGATTTCAACAAAGTCACTATATAGCCTATAGTGATCGTCTCTCATGGTCTCTTCGTGATAAGCAAAGGCCGCAATACTCTTAGTCACTCGGTTTTCAACCTTATCTTGTTGGTACACCAAGCATGTTCTCACATAGGACTCTATATCATGGCACAACTATAGTAAAAAATACACTCCTTCCAACGAAGGCTCTACAGTGCGTTGTTGTCCTAGATGTCCAACGGACATAAAGTCATGGCATTCTTTCATTAAATCTCATCGGAGGTTTCTCTATTCATGCACATAATTCTCCTCCCTTTCATGTAGAGAATGTCATCCTCTTTCCAAAATTTTCAAGTCTTGCTCTCCCTTACAAAGGCTAAAAAACTTGTAGCGTTGGGATCACGCTCTATTCTTTCTTAATTCTAGCCACGATCTCCTCATCCACCTTCTTCATGTTATGTAACTTAACCTTATACTAAGTGCATCAACCACCATATTGATTTTTTCCGGCTTGTACTCAAAGACATAGTTAAATTCGATAAAAAAATCTTGGCTTCGGACTTGTTTCGGCGTCAACTTCTTTTGAGTTTGGAAGTAACTCGTGTCCATTTTCACCATAAATTGAGACCCCGATAAATAGTGTCTTCAAATACACAAGTAATGCACTACTATGGTCATCTTCTTCTTTTGCATTGAATATCTACTTTCGATGTCATTTATCTTCCTACTCTCATAAGCTATAGGATGTTATTCTTGCATCAACACACCACCTATAGTAAAATCAAAAGCATTAGTGTGTACCTCATATGGTTTGGTTGGATCGATTAAGCTCAACACTAGCTCCTCGGTGATAGTTTGCTTTAATTCCTCGAAAGCTTCTTGGCCTCGTTCACTCATTTCCTCCTCTTGTTTATCTTCAACAAGTCGGTGAGAGGGGCCACTTTCTTTGAGTAGTTCGAGTAGTAACGAATGAAACGATGATAGTAATTGACTAATCCAAGAAAAGAACAAAGCTCGGGTACCTTGGTTGGCTCTTCTCATTTCGAGATAACTTTAATTTTAGCCTCATCCATCATCAACCTTCCTCTCTTAATCTTGTGCCCTAGGAAGAGTGCTTTCTTTTTTGTAAATGAGTACTTCTTTCTTTTAACATACAACTCATTCTTCCTTAATACCTTGAATACGAGTACGTGGGTGATCTAGATGCTCCTCCAATATAGAGCTATAGACCACGATGTCATTAAGATATACCACCATGAACTGATCGAAGTACGACCGAAATACCTTATTCATTAAGGTGTGGAAGGTAGTTGGGGTGTTTGTCAAGCCAAACGGCATAATAAGAAAATTATAAGAACCATATCTTTTTACGTATGCTTGTCTTTGACACATCTTCTATAACAATTCGAACTTAATAATACCTCGATCTTAAATCGATCTTGGTGTAGAATCGAGCTTTTCCTAACCGATCGAACAAGCCGGCTATCAATAGAATTGTATACTTGTTTTTTTTATCGTGAACTTGTTTAATGCTCGATAGTCCACACACATTTTTAATGATCCATCATGTTTCTTTTAAAGCAACACGGGCGAGCCATAAGATGACTTAGAGGATTGTATTTATCCAGCCTCTAATATAGCCTTTAATTGCTTCCTTAATTTCTCCAACTTCGGATGGGCTATACGATAGGTGTTATGGATGACGGTTTGGCTCTCAACACCAACGCTATTTGCTGATCGATCTCTCTTTTGGGTGATGACTTCTTAGACGACTCTAGTGGCATCACATCATCAAATTCAACTAGCATATTGACATTCTTTTTTGGCATTTTCGCACCCTCATCATCCACCGACTTATCTTCTCTCAACATTACTAAGTAAGTGACTTTTTCTTTCTTAAAGCCCTTCCTCACTTGCATAGTCGAGAGACTCTTTAAGTTTGATCTAGTATGCACTTTAGCTGGCACTAAACATGATGATTCTTCCTTCATAATCATTATTTGTTCCGGGTAAGGTGTAGGTACGACTTTTGCTTGTTTGAAGAACTTCATGCCTAGCATCACCTTTAAGTCATCCATCATGACAATCGTGAAATCTAATATCCCTTTCCATGCATCTATGCTAAGGCCTACCTTATGTGCTACGCCACAAGTAGGCTTGGGGAAAGTATTCATCGTCTTCATGTCGCTCGATGACTTAGTCACCACCAAATCAAGTATTGACCATAAAATTATGTGTGGTATTCATGTCTAGCATGTCAAGTGTAGCCTTACCATTCATGTTCATATCCACATACATAAGCCCATCTTTTGGTGGCACCTTAGAGGAGGACTTGACATTCGAGGCATTGAGAAGCCGCAATGATTTCATATGCTTCTCATGCTCGAAAGCACATTCATTCTCCTTTATTAAGGCATTGAAGGTTCTGTCTGCTCGGGCACTCTCTCCATTGATGCGGCCCATTATAAAAGTAGCAACCTTTGGACTTGAATTCTCTCTTGGCATGCTCTTTAACAAAGCTTTTAGATTTATGTGTTGCTTTCTCTTATCCATCTTTATATCCCTTCTTTCATAGGCTCCTCCACCTTTGCCCTTAAAGTTTTTCTTGGATTTGAAGGTTTCTATCTTTTTTATACTCGGTGTGGGATTTAGCTATAACTATAGTTTCAATGAGGTCTTAGGTTTTTGATCTTACCCTTCTTGTTATGCCCATAATCATATATATGATCATACTCAAGTTTGCCATGTATTTGAAGTTTAAAAGAGGCATATTCTTGAACATACTCGGGAATAGTCCCATATGCTTCAATGTTCCTAGCTTATTTCGTGCTTCCCAATCTATTTTCTCGGGATAGAATTATTCATACACGAACTTCTTTGAATTTGTCCTAACTAAACAACTCTTAATTCGCTCTCTTTAAGCTCTTAGTGCTTCATATACCACCATAAAATAGCATCCTGTAGAAGGTAGAGAGTAACGATCTTGAAGTGACTCCTATCCTCACTTAAGCTTATTGCCTTAAAATATTGTTCTACTTTCCAAAAGAAGTTATCGACTTCTTTAAGCATCCCGTTTGCTAGCATAATGCCTTGGTCTTGGCACTTCAACTTTTGATGTGTCGTTCAAGACCATACCATTAGAGATGGCTTTTAGATAATTTGCTCAATCTCTTTTAAGTTGTTTAAGAATTTATCCATACTTGGTTATAAACTCTTGATGTTGCTTGAACATTTCCTTCGTCCATTCCATGAAGGCATCCTTTTCAATAGTATTCTTTTTGGCACACCTCTCAACCATCTCCACTCGAGCTTGGAGATTGAAGAGCACCTCACGTAGGCCTACGATGCTAAGTGTCTTCCCTCATCATCTTCTTTTATCTCTTCAAGTCTCTCCTTGAAATCGATAAGGTGTTCCTACACCTTTAAGAGTCGCTCCTTCAAGGCAACAAACACATCACGAGACTTCTCCCTTTCCTTCTGGGTTGAGGAGATAGAGTCTCCTTCCTAATATCTTCGACAACATCCTCAACACTAGAAGTAGACATGCTTACTATTCTAAACACTTAACTAAATACAACCTTAATCACACTTGATAGAACCGGAATTTGATACCATTTGTTACGGATTTAGCCTTTCCTAAGCTCTCGTGCGGCATTTGGATAACTTCTTCTTTAAGCCAAACCAAATTAGTCTTCTCCCACACAAGGTTATCAAGCAAGGAAGACACACACAAGAGATATAAGAACTCACCGTATTAGCGTTCTCTAAAAGCTTACAACTTTAGGATTGCACTTTCTTAAATTTCTAGATGTCATGACTAAATGAAGGCCTCACCTATTTATAATCCTCCACCTTCTCAATAGATGGCTAGGATCTATTTGATCTAAAGAAAGACACACACAAGAGATATAAGAACTCACCTGCATTGCGTTTTCTAAAAGCTTACAACTTTAGGATTACACTTTCTTAAATTTCTAGATGTCTTGACTAAATGAAGGTCTCACCTATTTATAGTCCTTCACCTCCTCAATAGATGGCTATGATCTATTTGATCTAATGGTTATAATTGATTTTCTAGAATTATCCTATCTAGATATTTATAAGGAACTATCTAGATATGTACAAGTTAAAATAATGAGGAGCTCTCTAGAATTCTTTAGAACATGTTTAGGTTTCTCTTAAAAATTACTCTACTATTCCATCCTAAAAAATAAGTTAAGTCAAATACGTGTAGAAACATAATATAATAAAAATAGACTTTTATTTTTACGTGCATTCAATATAGCCTACCTCGTAAAGGACGAGATGATAGTGATGTTATATCTTTCTTATACATAATCGACTCTTAACCTAGATATTTATATAGTCTGGTCTTGTTTTAGGGTTTCCTAGTTCTTTCAAATATCAAGATGGTGATTTCATTTTGCCCATGCTCTTACATGCCCTTATTGATAAAATGAAAACTCATATAGGCATCGAAGGATCATGCATCCTATGGAGGTGCAAAAAAAAAAAAAAAAAAAGAAGAAAATTTCCTCTATCTAAAGGGTCGAAGATTATGCCGTTGAATCAATTAACCATATATTCAAGAATTAAAGTGATAAATGGAGAATTAACTCGTTATAGAATATATTTAAACCTTCATAGAAAGAGCTATCCAAGTATTCGATCTTTATCGATAATCCACGCAGATCCAACCATCAATAAAAGAAGCACTCAAAATTGATAAAGTGTCGGCTCTACCTTTTCGCAGTTGTTTAGTGTTTCCTATAGATATCTTGTAACTCCCGTGAACTTGCTTAATGTAGCCGTACGTATAAAAATAATTTTATCTACATCTACTAAGTGACAATTATGATTTTTTTTGTTATGTTTGTGTTTGGTGAGTTTAAGATGCTTGGTAAAAAAAAAAAAATTTAATTTTGGCATATCAAAATTTAATTCTTGAGCCCAAATATCTCTTGAGATATCCATGATTATATGAGCATAAATTATGTTCCATTTCTTTTATATTTGTGGTGTGAAAATATTTAAGGTTTATGGAATTGTTCATAGGAATTCTTTGTTTTTAGAATTTAATTAACCATTATTTATTTTTTTCATAATATATATTTAAAATGACCATGCAAATGAAAAATATATCTCACTTAAGAGTCATGGTTGAATTTTATGAACCAAATAAGGTTAGTAAATTGGTTAGTTTAATTACCTTTTAGTTTCTCCCTTTAGTTAGTGATGTGATATAAAATCTTCCACCATACTTCCATTGGACTTTCTCACTTAATTTTGGAAGGTTAAACACTCCAACTTTCCTCTCTTTTTTTCTCCATCAATTGACCTCTCTTACCATAAAAATTGGACACTTGGCATATTAAACATAAAAGAAATAAAAAGGAAAAGTGTAGTATTAAAATTGGATGAAAAGATGAAACCTTGCCGTTCTTTTTAGCCAAAAATTCATGCCCTTCAAAAAGAGGAGAGAAAAAGGTGAGTTTGAGGGAAAGAAAGGAGAAAAAGAAATGGAAGAAAGAAAGGAGAAAAGGAAAGGAAAGAAAGGAAGGAGAAATAGAAGAAAAAGGCTAAGACATCTTAACCAAACACACATAATTGTAAGTAGGTTTCTTTTGATTTTATTTTAGTTTTATTTATGCTTTAAGTTCTCTTTTACATGTTTGATTTATGGGTTTTTGTTTTAAGCCATGTAATATGTGGTTATGGTAGTTTGTGTTGATGTTAAAAATTTGATGTTTGGTGATGGATTTATGATGTTTTGATGATGGATTTATTTTGAATGTGGGATGTGTATTTCGTGCTAAACTTTAGGTTAGAATGTGTAAGTATTCCATGTACAGTTTTCAGCAGTGAATATCATCGAAGTCGGTTCTCCAAGAAGGAACTAGCATTTTCTATCCTTTATGGGAAAAAAATGAAGATACAAGGCACTCTAAGAAACAAAAATTCAACATCTTCACCAGCAATCCATACCTCAAGCAATATGCCAGAGTAAGGATCCTGAAATGCGTTTTCTTCCCCAGGTCATATGGGACTGGTCCGATGACTAGTCCCCAACGGCTGGCCTTTCTCATCAACAAGCACCAGTGAACAGTGACTGTCGTCAAACTTGACCTCACTGTCGTAGTCACGACCACCCTGCATGGCAGCACGCAAAACCACACCGAACACAATCTTACAATTTTGTCACTTTTCCATTGGGTTTGGCTTCCTTTATTGACGCAATTATGGTGTCCCCGTCCCCTAACCTTACCATTTCGTCCCCTTCAAGGCTTGTATGCACATCACCTTTTTCGCCCCCAGAGTTATCCAAAACCTTGAGAACAGTCCTCTTCTGTATGAAAGTCTGCTGTTGCTATAAAAGTGCAGCAGGACATTCAGGCCATGATCAAAAGGAGGAATATATACCAGAGAAGACACCAACTGATCCTAACAATAACTATTAAGATCACGCATTGGTTAAGAAATCTACATCCTCTACATCATAGAAAAAACTTCTCTTCATTTGAAGTTCTTTTCAAGAAAACCAAGCATGACTGTACATGTCTTGAATTGAAGGAGGGGAACATGGCTTTTATTTCCAACCATTTACACGTGCCAATTTAACTTGACAGCTTCTTGCATAATTTTATGCAACTTTTGCGAGTACTTGAGAAATTTACCTAACAATTTTCTCAAACTTCTATACTATAAGATTCAACTTACATAGAGACAAGAAATCGTTCCATCTCATTCGAAGGGAAGAGTGCTGAGAAAACTAGAAACGTTACTGCGAAGGCCAAGCAAAGAACGACCCACACACTAATTTTGTTTTTGAACGATTACATAAAAGATCCAATTAGACAACAAGATAAAGCAATCTATAGCTTTGAATTCAGAAACTCCCCATTATCCAAATCAAAACTCTGCGTCAAATGTCTCCTTTTATCTTGGCAGAAAGTGAGGTTTTCCTGGAGCCTTGAACTACCACAACTAGTTCTCTACTTTTCTTGGCTGGCCTTGTCAGACACATTAGACCTCAGTCAAATGTGGGCCTCATTGACACTCAGCCTTATAAGCCTTCCTTAATATTTCAAATCCAGTTACTAGGTTCAAGCCTGATACCACGTGGGATTCAAATGGCCTGCAATCCGACGGCAATAGAGGTTGAACCATGATATCCCTCACAAGACAACTCATCCCACTTACCTCCATACCACACCCCTCGGTGGTTGTCAAATGTTTCCTAACGAGCACTGGTTCGACAGAAATTGGTCAGAAAAGTAGCCAACTCGTCAGCATGCTAAAGCAAAATTCACCGAGGAATGCTTGGTGAAGGGCCGGCCTGTGTTTTGAGCTACAAATAATTGCCATTCTTAAATTTAGAACTCCAGAATCATCAAATATTCACCTCAGCTGAAGGAAGCAGCTTAAGCTCGTATTAAGTAGGGTATTGCATCATCCTGATGTTGTATTCTACTTTCACCGGAGACCATTTCCCCTACTAAAAAGAAGTTTCAAACAGAGCGTTTGCTTTGAGAAAATCGCAGTGAGGCTGCTTTCTTTGTGGTGTGAAAAAACAGGTGAAGGTTTGGTTGGGGTTTGCTTCTCCTGGGCTTGTTTCAGTTAAACCACTTGGTTCTGGGCTTTTAATATTTTTTGGACTTTTATTCCCTTTCTTTTTTGTGTTTCCGATTTATTTTCTTCTTATTTTTTTGCAAGTGATTCCTTTAGAGGACAATAGTCTAAAAATGGTTATTTGTACAGTAAAATTTTTAGATTTGAGAAACGAAAAATGAATTTCGAAGCTAAAACCATTTAAAATTCGAAAAGGCCAAAATGGCAACCCAAGCATCGTAAAAAAAAAAAAAAAAAAAACTGATGAAATTTTTGGACAGAAATTTTTTTCCTTTTGTTTTTTTTTTCATTTTTAAAATTAAAGCATAAATTTATTTCATGAAATAATTCAATTTTACGGATTATTTTCTGTTAAAAAAAGAAAAATCAATGGCTTATTAAAGGGATCAAAATGTATTGAAAATTGAGAATTTTTTTTACAGGGTTAAAAGCTTTAATGATTCAGATTCGGTCAACCATGGTTTCCCCGCTTTGTTAAATAAATGCGATAGTTTTTTAATCAATTCTGGATTTTTGTATTGAATTTGGTAAAAAAACACCAGAACTCAAGTCTGATTATTGAATAATTTTTGTATGTAATTCTTGTAGGCCCCCAGATATTAAATATCCTTTTGCTTTTAAAAGATAATGCCATTACCAAATAAAATATATGGTGAGTGTTTGGAACAAAAACCCATAAAGGGTGAGACGAAAGCCCGAGAATCTAATGCCGATGAAGGTTCGTGCCTGAGTGAGAAATGATGGCTTTTCCGGTCGGTGGAAAATAAGGAAGACCTTGACTTTGAGACTAGAGTTGCTATCCTCTTGGAGGAGGGAATCTTTTTACTGCCTTTTGATTTTTCAGCGAGCAGACGGTTGGTTTTGACGTATGAAGAACGAATGACCATGACCGGAAATGATCAAAGACAAATTACAAAGTATTGAATTGGGAAATGGGAAACGTATGGTAATGCCACATATACTTTAGGATAAAGAAACTTGAAAATCTCGAAGTGAGAAATGTTTTCTTTCGAGTATAGAGCATTACGTTCGTTTGAATGAAAATGGAGGGAGTACTGATCATCATCATCATCGTCACGATTTGCTGAGTTGTTGATGCCCGTTGAAGAAATGAAGGTTTGACGGGTCCATTTCTTCCTTTTACATGTAATGCATCTTTCTCTTCCGGTCCACTCAATTTGAAAAGATTGGGACACAAGACATGGTTCTTAAATTTGGCCCCTCCTTGCTCTGGCATCAGGCAGGCCTACGGACCGGTGATTTTGATTTTGATCTAGACCCAATTGAAATCAAATGCCATCCATCACTTCTTTATTTTTTAACCGAACATATATTGGTGACGATATTAATGCATGTAATTACTGGTAAAGAAACTCTGCCGTTGGATTCCTAGTTAAGTTTGACTTTTTAGTTTTAAATCAAGTCAACAATAATAAAATGTTGGCATAAGATAATTATTTAAATAAATTTTTAATTTTGGAGATATGTGAATTGGTTAAAAAATATTGTTATAGTCGAACAAGTATTCAGAATTCAAAAGGTGGGAATTCAAAAAAAAAAAAAAAGTGAAGGTCGAATGAATAGTTTGATTAGAATTAAATCATCATCACCAACGTAACCTTTTTTTTTTTTTTTAATTGACAACAAAGCAGTTTTATTTCACTAGCGAAAAGATCGAAAGTATTTTCTTTCTTTATTTTCTCAAAGAAAAACAGTAAAAGTCAGCAATTCTTGAGTCACGAGGCAGGCAAAAACTTTTCCAGTTCAAAAGTTCACACTACACGGTCCAGTCGTTTACCTTCTTCTATCGCCCCTCTCCATCCATCTCATCAGTACTTGTATAGTAGAGTAAAAACGACGCCCACACGCAAACCAAAAAGAAATGTCAAAACGAGAAAACTTTACACCTACCGACACGCCCCACCCGCCTCCCTTTCTATCCCCTCCTCTTTTTTTCCTTCTCCTCCTCCTTAAACAACGATCTCTGGAACTACTTAATTAGCTCTCTCTTTTTCGCTCTAGCTTGTAATCGGATCCGGATTCGGATCCTTTCTTTCAAGTTGCTACTAAAAAAATGTCAAGCTCAGGTGGTGACCCTAACATCACAGGCACACCTACTCATGGTGGACGCTATGTACAGTATAATGTGTACGGTAACCTCTTTGAAGTTTCTAGAAAGTACGTTCCTCCTATTCGCCCTGTTGGCCGTGGCGCTTATGGTATCGTTTGGTAAGTCTGATTCTTATTTCCATTTCTTTTCAAGCTGTTTTTCATTCTTTATAAAACCGTGTTAAGTTTTAACTGTAGATTTTGGTATTCCGATTTCAGTTTTTTAGGTTAAAACTGTCTACTTCTTAAAATTTCCTTTCGAGTTGTGAATTTTTGTACGTATTTGTGGTTTTAATTTTTTTTTTTTAGAGGATTTTTAGTTAGTTTCCCCAAAGTGATTTTCTTGGAAATGGAGAAACGATAGTGGAAGTTTCGAGAATTTATCTTAGCAATCTTGATTTTGCTTAAAAAAAGAGCGTTCTTTTGCAAGATTCCAGAAAATTCTATGTTAGGCTGCTTGGTAAGCTGTGAAGTTAGTGCTAAAAAAGTTCTTAATTGAGTTTCGAGGGCGTTTTGGAATATTTATTGCAAGAAAAATGCGAAATCTGTTTTATTAGTTGTTAAGAGTCCAGAAAACTGCTGTTACTGGTGAATCATGAATGCTATGGTTTTGTTATGTTTGACTTGATTTCTGTGTGTAATCAACAATGTGAAGGAAGATGTGATTTTGCTATTTCCTTCAGTGCTGCTGTGAATTCCGAGACACATGAAGAGGTTGCCATTAAGAAGGTTGGTAATGCATTTGACAACAGAATAGATGCTAAGAGGACTTTACGAGAGATCAAGCTTCTTCGCCACATGGATCATGAAAACGTAAGTTTGTTTTCCTTTGTTATTCTCACGATTTCTTAGTTCGTCTTAGCTAAATTGAAGTTATTATTTCATGATCTCGTAGCTCAACTCAAGTTGTTGCTTATGATTTCATAGCTAAACTCAGTTATAATGCTACCGAGAACCTGAGTGCTGTTGCAATTAAAATTTTCTTACAGAGGGTGGAATTTTTGTAAATTTGCTCTGTGTTTAATTTATTCTGATCGTCAGTTGGGTGATTCCTTGATAAATTAACCTTAAGTTCTGCTTTCACAGAGCATGATGATCTTGGTGAATCTGAAGCCAATTGTTTAATATAGTACCTTTGATTCATTTGATTCACAATATTCTTTTGTGTTTGACCGTGTCCTTTAGATATGTGCTTTGATATCTCAGGACTGATTAGATTATCATGATTGTTGAGTTTTTAACTTACCTATTTGACTTCTTATTACCCACATATGAGACTAGTTTGTCAACTCTGTAATTTCGTCTGTCTGAGCATATACTTCATGAGTTCTTGCTGATGTTGTATTGTAGAACTTCTCTATTGTATTGTTTATATGGTGTTTTTGTTACATTTATGGTTTTACTAATAATTTTCTCCTCCTTAGGTTGTTGCTATCAAAGACATCATTCGGCCTCCCCAGACGGAGAACTTCAATGATGTATACATTGTTTATGAATTAATGGACACGGATCTTCATCAAATAATACGCTCCAACCAACAATTGACAGATGATCATTGTCGGGTTAGCTCCATTAATTTTTCTTGGATTTCATGTTTACTATAAGTAATTTATACTCATAACTAGCAGAGTTATTTCAGACATTATTATTCTTGCGGTTATTTGATTTTTAGTTATCTTTACCATTCTCTAGCATATTGTGAACCTTTGGCTGTAGTTTTTAGCTTGCTGCAAATTTAAAGCTTTCCGGGTTGAAATTTGGACAAAAGAGAGCCAAGCAATGGCCACAGGCCACAGCCGAAGAGACTCCTACTGAAAAAATGCTTTCTCTAACATATGCTGTGATTGGACATTATCATTTCTTTATGAGCAAGAATAGTGTAAATTAACAAATACTGTGTTAGGTGCTTGATTTTCATTGATATCATCTAATTTGTTTCTTTGCAGTACTTTCTCTACCAATTGCTAAGAGGGCTTAAATATGTACATTCGGCAAATGTCTTGCATCGTGATCTAAAGCCCAGTAATTTGTTCTTGAATGCTAATTGTGATCTTAAGATTGGAGACTTTGGACTTGCAAGGACAACATCTGAAACGGATTTCATGACCGAGTATGTGGTCACTCGATGGTACCGGGCACCAGAATTACTCCTTAATTGCTCCGAGTACACTGCAGCAATTGATATATGGTCAGTGGGTTGCATACTTGGTGAAATCATGACGCGACAACCTTTATTTCCTGGAAGAGACTATGTTCATCAGCTGAGGCTTATTACAGAGGTATGTTTTTTGAAATTGTCCAGCAATTGTGCCCTGGGGTATTCTTGCTGTGTTTTCTGTATTGAAGTATCTGCTCATTGTTTGTGGATGGAGGCCCTAACTCTTTTCATTCACTTATTTGTGATTGTTAGCTTTTAAAGTCACAGGCAT